TCGTCGACAAGCACTAGAAAGTAGCGCTCTTGACGTGGCCCAGGGACTAGCGCTGGGCCCTAGACGTCCAGGTGCAAAGTTTGGAGTGGCGTGGTGAGAGGGTGAAGCGAGGAGGAGTGAGGAGCATGGTGCAGCCAACCCTTGACGCAGGGCATGTACGGCAGCGCAGGCGTGGGAGGGAGGGCAGGGAGTGACGAAGGGAGACCTAGAAGAAGACTGTGCTGAGACATGTGATACAGACGAGAGAGTGCGGGGTGACCTAAGCGGTGGTGCCACAGAAGCGGCTGGTGAGTGAGCGACCGACACGAGCAAGCCGCAGCGACCTGGGTAGACTGCTGCTGTGGCTGCTGCTCCTAGGCACCAACCCCAGTCCCCTCGTCGGACCTAGTAACCCCGCCGCCACCTCCACAACCCCCACCAACCCTACCACCACGCCCCCCTTTGGGGCGGCGGCCCCGATGCTGGCGCGGCTGCGCGGAGGCCGCAGTTGTGGTCTCAGCGGCAGGGATTGTCACAGCGACAGCGGCAGAAAAGTCAGCATACGTGCATTGGGAGGGCACAGAGCCCTGAAAGATAGGGACTGCCGCAGTACCGCTCGACTGAGCGATAGTGCGCTGGCGTGTCTCTATCTCAGAGAGGGCGGTGACAAAGGCGGCAAGGGTAAGGTCACCTGAGTGCTGAATAAGGAATTGGTCGCGGGCAGTGGCTAAGTGGTCCGGAAGGTGCATGGAAATGAGGTACAGGGTAGCGCAGAACGGCAGAGGGAACTCAGTAAGCTTGGCCTTTGTGCTAGCGGTGTGGTAGCTAGCCTCTAGTGCATGGAGGTGAGTGCCTAGGCCAGCTACAGTGGGGAAGGCGGCAAGATCAGGGAACAACATGGGGAGGATCAAGTGGCCAGCAGAGGCGGATGCGGCCATGGAGTAGCGCGCAACTACGGCATCTAAGAATTCCTTGGCGTTTGTGACAGTAGTAAAGCGCGGACGCTTAGACAGGGGAAGAGCGTAACTAATGGCAAGCTGCGCTACGGCATCGCGTGAATCCCAGACATCGCGAGCAAGCGCAGCAGCAGAAAAGGCCTCACAATGAGCAGTGGTGGGGTCAGCAGGGAGGGATCAGGCGCGGAGTGGCGGGGAAGCAAGCCATCGACATGCACAGCCAGGGAGTGACCATCCTAGCTCTGACCTGTGAGGTGATGGCGTAGATCGACAAGCCATGCGGCGAAGTTGAACGGGTGCCCCTCCGCGTACAGGCGGGGTACAGAGTTCGCCATCGTACGACCTCAACTACCTGACGCCATGGCGGCACGGCGGCAAGACGACTCGGCGGCACGGCGGCATGGTTCCAAGGCAAAAAGGAAGGCGAACACGACCAAGGCAAGCGGGGCGCACCGACTGGTGGAAGGTCGGGCAGGGCGCACAGGGCCAGCGGCGCACGGAAGGAGCCGACGGGGTGCAATGGGCCAGCAGGGGCGCAGAAGGGCCGGCGGGGCACAACGGGCCAGCAGGGGCGCGAAGGGGCTGGCGGGGCGCTAAGGGCCAGCGGAGCGCGATAGGGCTGGCAGGGCGCGATAGGGCCAGCGGGGCGCGAGGGGCCGGCGGGGCACGAAAGCGCTGGCGCGGTGCGAAAGGGCCTGGCGGGGCGCGAAAGAGGTCAGCGGGGCGCGAGGGGCGGGCAGGGCGCGAAGGGCCTGGTGGGGCGCGAAGGGGGCCAGCGGGGCACGAGGGGCCGGCGGGGCGCAAAGGGCCTGGCGGGGCGCGTAGGGGATGACCAGCGGGGCGCTAAGGCCAGATGGGCGCTAAGGACAGCGGGGCGCTAGGGCCTGGCGAAGGGCTGGCAGGGCGCGAAGGGCCTGGCGGGGCTCGAAGGGCCTGGCGGGGCGCGAAAGGGGGTCGGCGGGGCGCGAGGGGCCGGCGGGGCGCGAAGGGCCTGGCGGGGCGCAAAGGGCCTGGCGAGGCACGAAAGGGGCCAGCAGGGCGCGAGGGGCGGGCGGGGCGTGAAGGGCCTGGCGGGGCGCGAAGGGGGCCAGCAGGGCACGAGGGGCCGGCGGAGCGCAGAGGGCCTGGCGGGGCGCGTAGGGGATGACCAGCGAGGCGCTAAGGCCAGATGGGCGCTAAGGACAGTGGGGCGCTAGGTGAACAGCGGGGCGCTAAGGCTAGGGCTAGGGCGAAAGCTGGTGGGTGGACCTAAACTAAGTTGATACCATCTTAGAGTAGCAGAATAGACTAGAAAGAAGGGTGCATGGTAGTTTTAACCTAATGAGCTGTACCCTCTAAGGCATGCCCCTATCTAGGCTATAATAACATATACCTTAATCACCCGGATAGACGCCCCTCCGTAGGACTACTCCCATGGGCTCTAACTCGTGCATTGGGACTTATAAGCATTATTTGATTATAGCCCCCCCTCCATTTCTCTAAACCTGTTTCTCATAAGCCCCCCCGTAATTTCTCTTGAAACACTGCGCAAAAAGTCGAAGCGGACCCAGGTAATACCGAGGTTTCTCGCTTCGTGCCTGCCAGAAGCAGAACTCACCCTCTCTGACAGTTCGCGCCAGCACGATTCGTGTCAGAACGGCGAGTTGCCAACCTGGCAACTTGCCGACTGGACTTCCAGCGTGATTGACTCATGAAGCCTCGCTAAAAATATCCCATTGCACAAGTCAGACTAGTAGCTACGTTTTAATGTCAAATGAAAAATTTCCATATCATCCCTTTAAAACGCCCATGTGCATATATTTTATATTCAATTAAACGCCCCCCCACATTTTCAAACCAGTCTTTTAAACGCCCCTTGTTATGATTTAGAAGATGTCAATGAACTATAACGTGAAAATACAAGGTCGCTATTGCAATGAAAGCACAAGGTTATATAGGAGTATGCGCACTAGGGCGATTACCTCGGGACGTGGTTAGGTTCGGCAATGTGGCGACAGTGTTGGACGCGACTCGGGAAAAGGTTGGGCCGATAAATGAGGCCGAACGTGACGAGTCGAGGAGTTCGGGTGTACGCGGTAGCGGATGACTCAGTAAGGAATGGAAATTCCTTACACTACCCCCCCCCCTCCTAAACGAGTCCACGGGCATCGGAAACATTCCGACGTTGGTAATACGCTGTTAGAATCGGATGTGATTCTAGGTCAGCGAGCGGTACCCAGCTGTCATCTTCTGACGTGCGATCGCGCCAGCGGACGAGGAAATCAACCATCCGACGGTTCAGCTGCGTTGTAACTCGATAGCCGAGAATTTTCAAGGGCTCGGTTGTCGGTTCCTGCAGGGGCGTCAGCTGCGGTACACTGCGTTGGCGTGTCAAGTCCCACGAACTGGGGACGAGCCCGTAAGAGGCTGACGTGGAAAGCCGGGTGGTGACGCCAATCAGCTGGGAGTCGTAGATGAACAGTGACAGGTGTCACCATATTGGTCACTAGAAAAGGTCCGCAGAATCGGGGTCAGAGCTTGCTCGGTATCGGCAGCCGCAAATTGCGAGTGTCGAGTAGGACGAGATCGCCCACTTTGTAAGTGACGTCTCGTCGATGTCGATCGGCTTGTCGGCTTGCGACCAGGTTGGCTTTCCTGATTGCCTCAGCTGCTTTTTCTTGGGCGGCGAGAATGTCTTCAGCAAATTTCTGGGACCGGGGTACGGGTGACTCGATGTTTGGGGTAGAGGGTACCACTGGGTCCTGTCCGTAGTTTAGGAAAAACGGGGACTGATGGGTTGTGGCGGAAGGTGCGTTGTTATACGCGAACTCCAGCAGCGGAAGGGATTTCTCCCATGTCTGTGGGTCAGTACAGGTAGTTCGAATGAGTTGCTCCATAGTCTGATTTACTCACTCGGTCTGCCCGTCGGTCTGTGGGTGGTAGGTCGAGGAATATTGTAGTTTGCTGCCGAACTGGTCCCACAGGTGGCGCCAGAAATTCGATGTGAATTTCGGGTCTCTGTCTGAAATGATGGCGGTAGGCGATGCACTTGCGGTTGGTGCGTCAGGTCCTTCAGAGGTTCGGTCTTCAGTTCTCCTCTGCACAGCCCACACCTCTACCTGTAGACCACGGGCTTTCCGCTCCTGTTCCTGAGGAGTCAGTAGAGCCCAGCGGCCCCTACGCAGAGCTGGTGGGTTGCCTCATGTACCTGATGACCTGCAGTCGCCCAGATCTCGCATACCCTCTCAGCATCCTGGCTCACTTTGTGGCCACTGGCAGACACCGACCATAGTATTGGTCGGCAGCTGAGACGGTTTTGCGATATCTAGCAAGTACATCAGGCATGGGGTTAGTGTTCGGAGGACGCAGGCCAGTGGTCCTCACTGGGCACACAGACGCTTCTTGGGCAGACGACTCTGAGACGCTCAGGTCGTCGCAGGGCTACTGTTTTAGCCTTGGTTCGGGTGCTATCTCTTGGAGATCCACTCGCTCGTCGTCTGTTGCTCAGTCGAGCTGTGAGGCTGAGATCTACGCTGGTGCCATGGCGGCACAGGAGCTCCGCTGGCTGACCTTCTTGCTCACTGACTTAGGTGAGCGGCCTAGCTCTGCCCCGGTCCTATACGCTGACAACAGGGCCATGATACTCCTGTGTCAGGAGCCTCGACTTGAGGGCAGAGCGAAGCACATTCAGCTGCGGTATTTCCTCTTGCGCGAGCTACAGCAGCGTCGCTAGGCCCGCGTAGTTCACTTGGCCTCTAGTGCCAACACAGCTGATATCTTTACGAAGGCGCTTGCGCCTAAAGATCATCAGCGGCACTGTGTACAGCTCGGTCTTATTCCTGTAGCCTCTCACTTGCTAGGACCTTGACTTTGTTCTGTCCTATATGTATCTATATATGTACTCAGACTGGACTTGTGTCCTTTCCCAGTGGCTGGACTAGTAGTGCCGCCCTGGTCTTGTTCTTGTCTTGCCTGTACTCCTTTTGACTGGTCTTTAGACCCTTGTCTCTGTGGCTGGACTAGTAGTGCCGCCCTGAGCTGCTTGTTCAGGATTTGCCCCTATGCAATCTAGGGGGTGTCAAATATATGTATAACCCATATTTGTATAGACTGTATAGGGTCACCTCTTAGAGGGTACAACACTCTTAGGTATATACCCTTGTTCTCTCCCTCTATTCATTATTCAGTTCTCACTTTAACAACAATACCCACACGAGGCCTTGGTGTTATCGAAGCACCTAGGAAACACTACATGCACTAAGTCAGCTTGCTATTAAGGCGCCCAAACACAAAGCCGGCACTAGGTCGTGGTGTTCTTGAGGCACCATGAAATGAGAACACGCCCTAAGCCTTGGTGTTAGCAGACGATCGGCGCGGCAAGTTCCATGTGCTGACTGCCTTATCCATCCCCTCCGCTGCCACCAGCCGGATGGCATCAACCGCCCTCTCTATAGCCACATCCACCTGTGTCACGGATCACACACCGTGAGAAAACAGAAGTCCAAACACAGAGCTCGCTCTAGGAGGAAAAAAGTTCAACATGCGAGGGGCGATGGAGACATATGGAGATGGCAGGGGCGATGGAGACATATGGAGATGGCAGGGGCGATGGAGACATATGGAGATGGCAGGGGCGACTACTGCCTGCTCCACCTCTCTGAATGCAGTTGGAGTGGTGGCTCCCACCTCTTCTCTTTCACACTCTGAGAACATCTGCAACGCATACACCTTGGCTTCCCTGCAACACATACACCTTGGCTTCCCTGCAACACATACACCTTGGCTTCCCTGCAACACATACACCTTGGCTTCCCTGCAACACATACACCTTGGCTTCCCTGCAACACATACACCTTGGCTTCCCTGCAACACATACACCTTGGCTTCCCTGCAACACATACACCTTGGCTTTCCTGCAACACATACACCTTGGCTTCCCTGCAACACATACACCTTGGCTTCCCTGCAACACATACACCTTGGCTTTCCTGCAACACATACACCTTGGCTTCCCTGCAACACATACACCTTGGCTTCCCTGCAACACATACACCTTGGCTTTCCTGCAACACATACACCTTGGCTTCCCTGCAACACATACACCTTGGCTTTCCTGCAACACATACACCTTGGCTTTCCTGCAACACATACACCTTGGCTTCCCTGCAACACATACACCTTGGCTTCCCTGCAACACATACACCCTGGCTTCCCTGCAACACATACACCTTGGCTTCCCTGCAACACATACACCTCGGCTTCCCTGCAACACATACACCTTGGCTTCCCTGCGACCTGGCAGAGTTTGAGGCGCCCAAAACATGCTCGCACCTCTTCTCTTTCACTCACCTCTTCTCTTTCACGATCCGAAAACTTTTGCAGCACATAGACCTTGGCTTCCATGCGGCCTGGCGGTCTTCCAATGCCTGCATGCAGGGATGACATCAGCATGACGTCATTTTATGACACGAGCATGACGCCATGGTATGACATGAGCCAGTCAGCATGCTGCTCTCGTGCCTGTCGGCTCTGCAACTGACCGAATCAAAGGCGGGGAAAGTTCGTTGAGCCCTGGGAGTGCTTTTCAGTGGTTGATGTGTGAACACTCAGAGGCATGATGCTCCTTATGCTCTGCACGGTGCTCTAAAGCGATCTTTGTTCTCTGCATGGTGCTAAGCAATCCTGCGACTGACCGAATCGGAGGCGTGGAAAGTTCCTTGAGCCCTGGAAGTGCTGCATGATGCTCCTCATGCTGCCGGGGCGGGTGGTGGGAGCACGGTGGAGGGAGGGACGCATGTGTGAGCGGTGGGAGGGAAGACAAGGGTGGCAACCAGATGGAAAGATGGGCCGTCCCGTCACTATGCCGTCCCGCCATGGCATTATGACACCATGAGTTCATGGAGCCATGAGCCCATGAGTCTATGGCATGGCACCATGATACCATGAGTTCATGACACCATGAGTCCATGACACCATGAGTCCATGATACCATGAGTTCATGACACCATGAGTCCATGACACCATGAGTCCATGATACCATGAGTTCATGACACCATGAGTCCATGTCACCATGAGTCCATCACACCACGCCACCGTGACATCATGAGTCCATGGCACCATGACACCATGAGTCCATGTCACCATGACACCATGAGCTAAGTTGCACTAAACGCGTATGGCGTTTAAGTTGCACTAAACGCGTAACGCGTATACACGCTATACGCTTTTTTGGGGCCACGTAGACGTTAGGTATACGCTTGTCCGGGCAGGCGAAAACTTCTCTCCGGGCAGGGAAAAAAAGTGTGTATAGGGAGGGGGAAAAGGGGGAATGTGGTGCGGGCCATAGTTTTTCATAGCAGCATGAACCAGAGAACATAGTTAAGCTTTAAGGCATAAATAACCGCCATGTCAAGGTTTCATCCATGTCGACATGGCGCTGCCTAAAAAACGAGGTGACGTGGCGCTCCCTAAGCTAAGATTCTAGCTTAGTCTGCCGCCTAATTCGGCTGGTAAGTTACGCAATCTGTTTTAGGTTTAGCGCGTTCGGTGGTAGAGGTAGACAGAGCACATTTGACGTTTGGTTGGGTCTGGTAGATGCCTCGGGATGCAGTGCGGTTGGGGGGGGCAGATTGGTTGGAAGTTGGATTTGGGCAAAAAATTGGGGTCTCGACATTTCGCGATAGTGTGGCTGGCTTTGCCACGTCGCGATGTGGCGATCGGTTTTTTTTTCCTGACGAGCTGCCCCCGAAATTTCAGCCGAGCTTATAGCGTTTCTACGCTCGTATAGCGTATAGCGTATATACGCTATACGCTTCGGATTCTGTAGTGCAACTTAGACCATGAGTTCATGACACTATGAAACCATGACACCATGACACGAGGACACGATGACACAATGACACCCTGACACCATCACACCATGACACCATCACACCATGACACCATGAGAGCATGACACCATGAGAGCATGACACCATGAGAGCATGACACCATGAGAGCATGCCACTATGACAGCATGACAGCATGACACCATCACCCCATCTCTCCATCAAACCCCATACTCCCGCACTCACCCATTATGCCCCCCATGGCCTCCTTTGGCAAGAAGCTTCATGGAGGCTACATCTAGGTCCATGTCATCATAGATCTGAGGAGCATGACGGTATGCATGACGGTATGCATGATGGCATGCATGATGGTACGCATGATGGTATGCATGATGGTATGCATGATGGTACGCATGATGGTATGCACGATGGTATGCATGATGGTATGCACGATGGTAGACACATGACAGCAATGATGAAGATATGGGAAACGAGCTTCTGTAAGTGGGCATTTCACCTTCTGTAAGATGGGACATTGGGGATTTGACATTGGTGTGCAGATCCATTGCACGGACTTCTGTCCTCAACGGACTGCCGGACAGTAGTCCGTATCCTCAACAAAGGACTTTGCCAGTCGGGACATGGTGCTCAAGTGCCCAAGTCAACAATACGGCATGGGCGCAGCAAGGCAGCGGGACAATGATGACATGGCAGCGGGACAATGATGACATGGCAGGCCATGGCACAAGAGGGCATGGCACAAGAGGGCATGGCACAAGAGGGCATGGCAGGGCAGGGCATGGCACGGCAGGGCATGGCACAAGAGGGCATGGCACGGCAGGGCATGGCAGGGCTTACAGCTACGACTCGCTCGGGTGGGATCTTGTAGAAGCGAGCCAGCGGCCCCACCTGGGAATGGAAGCCAGCGGGGTGGTGGGGTGTGGGGTGTGCGATGAACTGATGTATGCTGTGCAATCCTGATGAACTGGGGCATGCCAGTCCTGATGAACTGGGGCATGCAAATCCTGATGAACTGGGGCATGCCAATCCTGATGAACTGGGGCATGCCAATCCTGATGAACTGGGGCATGCCAATCCTGATGAACTGGGGCATGCCAATCCTGATCTAAAAACCATCTGACCCGCCACAATGGAACGGGGGTAGGTACGCACACAGGAGTGTGGGGGGGTTGGGGGGGGGAGTCACGTGTGCGATAATCTCTCAACACAGCAGAATGCTCCCTTGGATTGCACGCCACACGCAAGTCAGTTGGGAGGTGCCACACACACACAGTGGTCAAATCCTCGGCAACCAACCACCTCCACCCTTCCCCCCTTCCTACAATCCCCCACAACCCCCCCCCACAATCATCACCCCCTTCCCCCCCCCCCCCCCCCTCTCTTCCCCCTCCCCATTCCACGCTAACTCTCCCACCTGCCCCCCTCTCCAACTCTCCTGGCTCGGGTTCACCAGCACGTGTCTTAAGGTACCCCCCAACCTCCTCCCCCCTCACGTCCCCCAGCTGAGGTTCATGCACGTCTGTGGCTTCACCATGCAGCACGTCTGTGGCTTCACCATGCAGCACGCCTGTGGCTTCACCATGCAGCACGCCAACCCGTAAGGTATCGATCCCCTCCTGTCCCCCTTTCCTCTTCCCCCCCTCCCCCCCCCCTCTTCCCCCCCTTTCCCCCCTCCCCCCGCTCTCCCCCCTTCCTCCCCATGATGCATGCTCCCCCCACAAAGCTTCATGACTGTCCGTGGCTTCACCGGCAATTGAAAACCCCCCAAGACCTGCTCTTACCAAAAAATCTCCCTGTTAAAGTCCCTCCCTTCCCCACCCTGTTCCCTCCCCCTCCCCCCCTCCCCCCTTCCCTTTCCCCCCGTTCCCCCAACTCACGCTCTCCCCACTGAGGTCCATGCACGTCTGTGACTTCACCACGCAGCACATTGCTCATATAAGGCAGCACTCCTCCCCCCTCCTCCCTCCCTCCTCACCCCACTCACGCTCTCTCCGCTCAGGCTCATGCACGTCTAGTTTTGAGGCGCCTCAAAACTAGGTTCATGCACGTCTGTGGCTTCACCAGAAGCACTTCAACGTAAGAGGGATCAATCCCCTCCCTTCCCTCTTCCTTGCCCCCCCCTTCCTCCTGCTAGTGCATGCTCTTCCCCCCAGAGACCTTCATGACCATCTGTGGCTTCACCAGCAATTCAAGACCTCCGCTGTAAGCCCCCTCCCCGTCCTCCCAAGACCTGCCTTGACGCATACCCTCCCTCTTGAAGTCACCTCCTTCTCGCCCCCCCCGACTCTTAGTCGCCCACTCACGCTCTCTCCGCTCCGCTCAGGTTCATGAACGTCTGGGGCTCACCAGCGGCACTTAGTGCTTCCATCATTGCCCAACAAACCCCCCCCCCCCCCTCCTTTAACTCACGCTCTCGCCGCTGAGGTTCATGAACGTCTGGGGCTTCACCAGCAGCACGGCGCTGCCAGCAATCCGCCCCTTGCCCACTACCGCCTTGCTCTGCATGGCGCTCAGCGATATGCCCTCTGCTCTCGCGATGGCATCCAGCACCTCAAAGCCTATCTGGTGAAAGGGAGCAAGGGGGGGAAGCAAAGGGGAAGTGAGAGAACTTGGATTCGCCCCTTGCCCACCACCTCCTTGCTCTGCATGGCGCCCAGGGATACGCCCTCTGCCCATGCGATAGTAGCATGCACCATTTTCAGCGACATGCTCTTGAGTCGACTCAAAGGCTCTACGCTCAGCGAAGCAACATGCTCTTTGCTCTTGTGATGGGAGGGAGGTTAGGGAGGGTGCGAATGCAGCAGCAGAGTGAAAGAGAAGAGGCGCGAGGCTGGTGGGCCCACCACAGCAGGCACACACCCAAACCTGAAACCCAAAACCCGAAACCAGACTCCCAAACCTGAAACCCAAAACCCGAAACCAGACTCCCAAACCTGAACCTTGACCCCGGATACAGTGCTTCAAATCCCTTCCCCTTACCCCACTAGCACCCCACTCCTCTCCCTCCCCCCCCCCCCCGCCTCCTTTCCCCCCTTTTTCCTCCTCCTTTCCCCCTGTGTTCGAGCACGCAAGAGGGCACCTCTGCTGGTTCACGGAAAGCTACCAGCCCAGCGACGCACATTGTGGCGCGTGCCCTCGTATTTCATCCCCGGATTCCCCAGCCCCACCAGCATCCACGGCCCTCCCTTCCCCGCATCCCCGCCCTTGCTCCCCCCGCTCTGCGCCCCCGTGGACTCCCCCGCCGCCTGGCCCGCCGTGCTGGTCGTGACGGCTCTCCGCTTGCTGACGCGGTAGGACGCAGCGCCGTCTGACGTCGGTCGTTTCATGAATGACGTGGCATATTCGGTAAGCGCAGAACTGGCGGATAAAGCCTTGGCGTCTGGAGAGCGGCGGAACGCGGAGAGGCACGGCGCTGGGTGGTGCGCTGAGGTGAGGGGGGCGGGCGGAAAGGACTCCCCGAGAGGACAAGTCGGAATGCGCCTTCCTAACCTTAGAGACGTGATTGAAACCAAAGTCCGTGTGCGCACTCCCGCCAAAAAGGCGCGCGGAGCCGCCGCGAGAGGTCTGGCTGCGCTTGGCGCGCAGCAGACTTGAAGTGCAGTCATGGACCAAATGTTGCAGACCCAACCGAATCACGCTCTGTTAGCTCGTTAGTGGAAGTGAGTACAGTACTACATTCGCCAGAATGGAACATGCTTCACCGAACTGAAGCATTTTCTACCGTTTTGAAAGCAAGTTATCCAACCTGTCACCAGCACAAACCCACCACTGGAGAAAGGATGCACTGTATGGATAATTAAATAAGTGGTGTACTGTAAGTTCGCTTGAATACAGTGAAGCACACTGTATTGTAATGAGGATATCCTATGAGGAGTAATGGTTAATTCAGATCTCGACGTGGTGGAATCAGCACTCGCGAACCTCGCCAGAGTTATGATTATCTACTGCGAAAACCGTGTGGAAGGGGGTGCGCGTGAGGCCAGCCAGAGCCACACAGGAGCCAATCTGGCTGCTTTTCATGTCACGTTCCACCCGAGATCACTTCCGAACACGGCGGGCTGTCGCTTAGTGCCTCGGCGATGAATTTTGAATTTCTGGATGGTTGTTGTATCTTTTAGCAAAGTAGTGATGAAATCTGTCTTCATAAGATTGAGAGAAAAAGGAACTACCAGCTTATCAACGACATATATTTCGTTCAAAAATTAGCTAGCCTTGTTAGCCTCCAAAAGGGAAAAATCACGTATCCAAGTCAGTAATATCAAATTTCCTGACTTGGATACGAATAGTAAATCACGTGCCAACACTGGACTCCGAAAATCGAGGGTGCGTTGTGCGTTGCAGCTCATCTTTCGGGGCTTCGGAATGGCCCTTCTTTCCAGCCATCCATGCCGCCCATCACGCAATGGCAGGCGCGCTGGAACAGCACATCCCACCGAATTTGGCAGCCGAACCTCCATGGGATCATGGGAATTTTCTGCTCTCCTGGATGCCTCACAGCTCGCATTGGTTCGGTTGATTCGGTTGGTGGTGTCTCGAGGTTTCGTTGCTTGGTCTATCTGACTTCAGCTTTGCTGCGTGGCTGTGGTTCTTGGGCTAGGGTTTGGTAGCCATGGTGGTAGTGTCACTCGTCCAAGTGCCGCTCTTGCTCCAGTTTCGTTGAGCGGAGGACTTTAATCTACAAGTCTACGCCGCACGGGCTCCTAGAAGACATCACGTTGCATTCACCTCATTTAAAGTCACATATTTATCTGCATTGCTTATCGAGGCCCAATGGCTCCAGATTTCCGCGCGGTCGCCCGTTGGGGCGAGCGCCTAGCTCACGCGCTCCAACGCTTCTCGAAACGCCTCCCGCGTTTCCGCCGCGAAGCCGCGCAGAGCGGCGACGGCCCCGCCGACGCGGACGCCAGACCGCCAAGCCCCGAATCATCCGCGCAGGCGGCATCTGCGGCGAACGGATCTGGCGGAAAGGTTCCGCGAGGCGGGGGGAAGGCGGGTCCGGGGAAGGTGACGACGAAGGGGAAGGTGCAGCCATGGGTGGTGCTGCAGCGGCAGTGGCTTACGATCTTCCTTGTCGCATGGCTGCTGGGCGGCTTGGCGCTTGCCACGTGGACCGTGCTGTATTCGCACAGCGCGCTGCAGGAAGAGCGGTACTCGAGCCTGCTGACGTGGTGCGGCGAACGCGCGAGGTCGCTTGTGCATCAGTTTCGGTCGTCGAGCGACCATGCGATGGTGAGTTGCGACCATGCGACGGGGTGGGTTGCGACAATGCGACAGTACGCTGCGATCGTGCGACATTCAGTTTCTCGTTTGCCTGGCAATGCCGTGTTCCTCCTGCCAAACGATTCGTCCGTTATTCTGTTTCCCCGCTTAACGATCTCTCCGCCAGCGAGCCTCCGGCAATGCGGTTAGCGGAGGACTATAAGGATGTCAGTGCGGTGGAGAGCGGTGCTTCGTTTCAGTCTTGACCGAGCGTGTGGTAGTAGATGGCGTGGCTTACGGCAGAATGGGGAGGTTGTGCGACGGTCTGCGACGAGATTCGCATCTAGGTCCGGGATTCGTAGCGAGATCCAGCAATGCGCGACAGTAAGACGCCATGTGCGACTGGGTTGTCGTCCCTCGCCGCTCTGCTTCTGCTGGCTGTCGCCATCATTGTCGCCTTCGTTGCCTTCGTCGTCGACGTCGCTGTCGCTGCCGCCGCCGTCGTCGAAGGCTTGACGCAACAAGTGCTCTTTCCGCTTCTTGCTTAGCGTTGCCGCTCAGCCGCGTCTTGCGACGTATCGGATACAATGTCGCACGGCCTCGCAACGATGGCGCATGGCCTCGGCCATGTCGCACGGCGTCGTGGTGAAATATCGCACGGCGTCGCTACACTGTCGCACGGCCTCGTGACATGTCGCACGGTCTCGTTCATCTCGCACGGCTTCGCTGCAACGTCGCACGGCCTCGCTACAATCGAGCACGGCACGGCTCCGCGCTCTCCCCTTTCGCAGGTGTTCTCAGTGCGCGCCTCGCGATCTCCCTATACTCGCTCTCTCCCCCCGAGCTCGTCGTCGCAGGGCGCGTCGACGCGGTTTGAGGCGCGAGGCGTGCCGCTCGCCTCAACTCCGCCCTTCCTAACCCTGCAGCCTCCCTCGCAGGTACTTCTGGCCCACGCGTCCACGAGGCCTGGACGCGCTCGGCGGGACGGCGGGCGGCAATGCGTGCGCCACCGGGCTGGTCTCGCCTGATGGTGCCTTCAAACTCCCTTTCCCTTCGCCCCCACCCCGCAGGTCTTCGCCGGCCTCGTCGAGGGGTTCAGCGGCGCGGCGGACGGCAACGCGTGGAAGCACGGAAGCCGCATCACGCGCTGGTTTGAGATGCAATGCCCTGGACTCTCTCGCTCCCTCCCCGCCCCCCCCCCCCCCCATCCCTCGCGCTCCCCTCTCGCCCCCACAGGTGTTCACGGGGCTGGTGGACGTGTTCCGCGAGACAGCGGACGGCAACGCGTGGGGGCACGGCAACGGCACCATCGAGCTGGTGTCGCCTTATGGTGCCTTGGAGCTCCCCTCGCCTTCTTCCCCGCAGGTGTTCCCCGGCCTGGTGGACGTGTCCGGCGAGGCGGCGACGGCAACACGAGGGGGCACGGCAGCGCTGCATCGCGCGGTGATCTCGCCTCTCGCCTCATGGTGCTTTTGACCTCCCCTCGCCTTCTTCCCCGCAGGTGTTCACGGGGCTGGTGGACGTGTTCGGCGAGGCGGCGGACGGCAACGCGTGGGGGTACGGCAGCTGCATCACGCGGGAGAGCTTCCAGGCGTACGTGAACGAGACCAGCTACGCGCGCCCCTGGGTCTCCGCCATCACGTGGATCGTCTTCGTCAAGCACAGCCAGCGGTGCGGGCGGTGGTGGTGGTGCTGGCAGGAAAGGCGGTGGTGAGAGGTGTGACGCATAGCCCGAGGTGCGGGCGGTGGTGGTGGCAGGTAGGGGGCCGGCCACAGGTGCGCATGGCTCGACGGAAGGGTGACGGTGGTGGTGAAATGTAGAAAAGGTAGTAGTGCGAGGTGTTTTGCCAGAGCTGCGGGCGGTGGTGAGAGGGAGGAAAGGTGGACGTGAGAGGTGATCGGTGGAGACCAGCTACGGACGGCCGTGGGTGTCCGCCATCACGTGGATGTCCTCTCCCCCTCTCTCCCCCTCTCTCCTCCTCTTTCTCCCTTTCTTTCCTCGCTTCTTCTCACTTCCCCTTCCCACTATCCCACCCGCAGAGCGGAGTTCGAGTCCAGGCTCGACACCACCATCAAGAGCCAGAGCCCATGTTCAACCCCTCTCCCTGCCCCCCTCTGCCCCCCTCCCTTTCTCGCGTTCTGCCTGAATGCGTGCTCGCCCCACCCTCCCACCCCAGAGCGGAGTTCGAGAGGAAGTTCGGCATCACCATCAAGAGCCAGAGCACCAAGGGGCCGTCGCCCCCGCGCGACTGGTACGCGGTGTTCCTCTACATCTCGGAGGGGTCGCGCACGAACAACAGCGACTGCTGCTACGACGGGCGGCAGTACAGCCGCTTCAAGGACGCGATCGAGCATGGGCTCAAGACGCACAACATCTCCATCACGCCGACCTTCACCCTCGTCGCCAACGGCAACCGCGGCCTCGGTACGGCAATAGGGCTTGGCTTGGGTGCCTCGCAGGCGGGGTATGGTGGAGGTATCGCGGTGCTTGGGGGTGGTAGGTAGGGATGTGGGCGGGTGGGTGGGAGGGCAATGGCCACCCCTGGGGCCCACCGTCACGCTGGCCGCCAACGGTTACCGCGGACTCGGTATGATGCGCCTCAGGGGTTAGCCGTGGCGTGGGTGTGACTGGCATGGCTCCTGAGGGCGAGCGCAGTGTGGATATGGCGTTGGGGTGCTGGTGGGACGCCTTCGAGCACGGCCATGAGGGCTGGGTGTGAGCCCGGCCATGAGGGCTGGGTGTGAGCCTAGGAAATGCCATGCTGCCATGCTGCCATGCTGCCGTGCTGCCGTGCTGGCATGCTGCCATGCTGCTATGCCATGCCTTCATGCTGCCATGCCATGCCATGCTGCTGTGCTCGCAGGTCTGGGCTTCCCGGTGCTGAAGAACTCAACGGAGGGCAAGCAGGACATGAAGGGCATGATCGGCGCCGTCATCGACATGCAGGCACTCATCGACTTCCTCCTCAAGAAGCTGCTCTCAGCCTGTAAGTCGCTCTGCTTGCTGCGCTGCTCTCTGCTTGATAGAGAGGTGCATCTACTCTAAGGTCTCTCCCCAGGCAGCGAAGGGCATGATAGGCCCGCTCATCGACAGGCAGGCGCTCATCGACTTTTTCGCTCAAGAAGCTGCTCTCAGCTTGTAAGTTGCCGCTGTGCTGTCCACCTGTGAGTTGCGCTCCTTCTGATGTCCTCACCATTGAGCCGACCCTAAGGGACACGATAGGTGCGATCATTGACGTGCGGCGCTCACTGGTTGACTGCCTCCTCAAGAAGCTGCTCTCAGCCTATGAGTTGCCATGCAGCGACTCACTCGAGTCACCGGAGGTAACCAAGGGCAGGATGGGTGCGGCCATCAACGTGCGGCCATCAACCCGCTGCCATCAACGTGGAGGGGGCGTTCGTGCGCGCCCTTTCGAACGAAACGATAAACCGCTCGCAGAAAGCCGCGTCTCTTGCTCTGCTACCTGCTCTCTCGCTCTCCCGGCTGCTCTCCCGGCTGCTCTCCCGGCTGCTCTCGCTCTCCCGGCTGCTCTCACTCTGCTCTCACTCTGCTCTCACTTGTCACTTGTCCGATCCCGTTTCCTTCCCCTCCCTTTCAGCTGCGCCGTTCAAGCTTCAACTCTTCGACGTGACGAACCGCACTGCACCCATCCCGATGTACGACAGCGAACGCACGGACGGCTTCTCCACGCTGCCCGACCAGACGGTGGCGCCTGCCTCGGACGAGCTGCTGCAGCCAACCAGGTTCCGCCACGTGGAGCCCATTGATCTGAGGGACCCCTCCCGGCAATACGAGCTCTGGTGCCGGTGAGTGTGGGGAGGGGATAGGGAGCACTCCTCCTATGGTGGTCACCCTCGTCTGCTACTTCCTCACCATGATGCGTCCCTTACACCCTCCCCTCCCCCCTCCCCTCCTCCCCCGTTACCATCCCCCCTTCCATCAGGTACACGGAGAACGACACGGTGGCGTGGGGGTGGAGCTCTTTGTCGTGGGGCGTGCTGCTGCTGGTGGTGTTCATCCTCGTCTTCTACATTCTGCTCACCATGGGCCGCCAGAACGCCGCCATGCGCCGCAACTACCGCCGCATGGAGGCGCTCAAGGCGCGCGCGGAGGCGGCTGACAGGGCCAAGAGCAACTTCCTTGCCACGGTGTCGCATGAGATTCGTACTCCGATGAACGGCGTGCTGGGTGAGTGGCATGGGGAACGGCATGGCCCGGTTAGTGCTAGTCGTCTGCAACTACCGCCGCATGGAGGCACTCAAGGCGCGGGCAGAGGTGGCTGACGGCGAAATCCAACTTCCTTGCCACGGTGTCGCATGAGATTCGCACCCCCATGAACGGCATGCTGGGTGAGTGGCTTGGCCTTTCCCTGTTGTCCTCTGCCATGCGCCCTCTGCCATGCGCCCTCTGCCTCATCACCGCCCCCCTCACCATGGGGGCACCATGCGCTCGTACACACTTGTCTGTTGGCTTCGTTGCGTGCTTGTGCCGCCTCTCGCCCCACCGACACACGAGTGCTACGAAAAAAAAGGAAAAAAGAGTGAGGATTCTCTTCGTTTCGTGGTTCTGCCGCTCGTTCCTTGATCCCTCCTCCCTCCCTTCCCGTACCCCTGCGACTCCCTCCTTGCAGGCATGCTGGACTTCCTCCTGGGCTCGAAGCTGGACGCACAGCAGCAGGAGCACGCGCGCATGGCCAAGGTGTACGAACAAACCCTACTCTCTCTGCTTAACAAACCTCTTGTCTCCTCTTCCACCCCTTCCCTCCCCCCCTCTTCCCCCCCCCCTCCCCCCTTCCCCCTCCAGGCATGCTGGACTTCCTCTTGGACTCGAAGCTGGACGCGCAGCAGCAGGAGCATGCGCGCATGGCGAAGGCGTGCGGGCAGACGCTGGTGTCGCTGCTGAACGACGTGCTGGACCTCGCCAAGGTGGAGGCGGACCGCCTCGAGCTTGAGCACCTGCCCTTCAACCTGCGCTCCTCCGTGGACGACATTCTCGACATCTTCCGCACCAAGTCGCAGGACCTCGGCCTTGAGTGTGAGTGCAGTGCTTGGGAGTTAAAGGCAGGCACACCGTGTTCTGCTCTCGTTGTAGTGGGGGACTGCATCGGCCTCCAACTATCTTCCTCTCTCCTTTATTTCCCCTTCCTTCTCCCTCGTTCTCTCTCCAGTGGCAGCGCTGGTGGATCCCAACGTGCCGGAGGTGGTGGTGGGCGACCGCATCCGCCTGCGGCAGGTGGTGGTGAACCTCATCGGTAACAGCATCAAGTTCACGCAGCGCGGCCACATCTTTGTGCACATCTCCGCGCCCTTCGCCGCCATGCCCGTGCCCTCCTCCCTCCCCTCGCCCCTCACCCTCCGCTCCCGCTTCAACACCCTCGCCGCCTCCGCGCCCCCCGCGTCCGCCGCGCTGGCCGCTCGCAAGCTGACAGCTGGCGACGGCTGGGGGCTGCACTCGGCCGAGGTCCAGTTGGCGTGCTCCCCGCTGCGCTCCACCGGCCCGATCTCCGCGTCGCTCGCTGCGATTGGCCGCAGCATCTCGCGCGGTTACCAGACGTTGTCGGGCCGCCCGACCTCGCTCGTTTACGGCCCGGGAGGGGCGGCGGGGGCGGGCTTGGGGCAGCCGAGTTGCAGCACGGGGGACCTGGTGGGGTGCTTCCCGGCGCTGCTGCAGCCGGGGTACTCCCAGATGGAGGACGGGGTGTCGGTGGGGATCCAGGAGGGGGGGATGGAGGAGGTGGAGAATGGAGCAGGGGGGAAGGGGGGCGAGGAGGAGATCATGGTTGGGGAGGGGGAGGACGGGGAGGAGGGGAAGGAGGTGGAGAAGAGGGAGGATGCGATCACGCTGCTCATCACCTGCGAGGACACGGGCGCTGGCATCCCGCTCTCCTCGCAGTCCAAGATCTTCCAGCCCTTCACCCAGGTCCGCGCCTGCATGCTGCCCGCCCGTCCATGCTGCCCGCCCGTCCATGCTGCCCGCCCGTCCATGCTGTCCGCCTGTGCGTGCTGCCCATGAATGCTGCCCATGAATGCTGCCCGTGCATGCTGCATGTGCATGCCGCTCCTGATCATTCCACCCCCTGACTCCCCCCTTACTGCTCTGCTGACTTGGATGAACGCCCTCCCCCCTCTCTCTCCCCCCCCCCCCCCTCTTCCCTCCCTCCCTTCCCCTACAGGCTGAGAGCAGCACAGCCCGCACCCACGGCGGCACGGGCATTGGGCTGACCATTTCCAAGCGCCTGGTGAAGCTGATGGGGGGTGACATGACCTTCGTCAGCGAGCCGGGCGTGGGCACCACGTTCGTTCTCACCGTCAACCTCGGCCTCATGCCGCCGCGCGTCCCGCGCTCTGTCCCCACGGCCCTCCCCGCGGATCTGCTCCCAATGCTGGACGACGACCCCGACGCCGCTGCCATGATTGAGAAGTTCCTCAACCGCGCCGTGCTTGTCGTCGACGGCCTGCAGGTGCGGCAGCGGGTGGCCAGCAGCGTCTTATCCCGCCTCGGGATCACTCCGATCCCCGCCACGGACGCTGCGTCAGTGCCTGCGATCGCCACTAGGGGGTTCCTCCGCGGGCCTCCCCTGCCCGGGTCGACTACGTTTGAGGACGACATCCGGCCGTGGGACGCCATCTTTGTGGACAAGGACGCCTTCGGCCCCAAGACCGGCTTCCAGGTGGCCCGGGCCATCCAAGAGGCGTTTGCTGCGGTTGAGAAGGGTGCTGGGGAGAGGGGTGTGGGTGAGACGATTAAGGAGGAAGTGGAAGAGGCAGCAGCAAGTGCTGCTGCTGGTGCTGCTGCTGCTGCTGGTGCCAACGGTACCAGTGGCGGTGGTGGTTGTGGCAGCAGCAAGGTGCGCAAGCAGCCGCCGCTGATTCTGGTGGCGTGCCGGCTGGAGGCGGAGGAGAAGAGCGAGGTGGAGGCGTGCGGCTTCGAGGAGCGCCTGCTCAAGCCGCTGCGCAAATCCATCGTGGCCGCATGCCTCGTGCAGGTGAGAGCTCATAGCAGAGGGCAGGTGAAAGCCGGGGCAGGTGTTATCTGGTGCAGGCGAGAGCTTTGCTGGGGTCACATGGTGCTGCGCAAATCCTTTGTGGCTGCATGCCTTCTGCAGGTGAGACCTTGGAGCTGGGGGCATGTAACATCAATTCAGTGTTGGAAACGTGCATTTGTGTGCTGGTAACATGCAGTCGAGTGCTGCAGCATGCATTGGTTCTCATGGCATTTCCACGTCTCCCTGCACTGCCTACTCTCCAGGTGCTGGGCATCATGACCACGAGTCGCAGCAGCAACACGCAGAAGCAGCAGCGCCGCAAGGCCATGCAGGCGCTCATAGGGGGCAGGCGCATTCTGGTGAGTGCCTGGGAGGGGTGGGTTATTGGGACACGAGGTGGTTACCACCACTCATAAGGTAACGTGCCATAACGCCATGTGGGCGCTCATTGTCGGCAAGCGCATTCCGGTGAGTGACTGGCTGAGAGGCGCCTTTACGGGTGGGAGGTGAGTATGCTACATCATTCACAAGGTAACGCACCGGAAGGCCCTCGCACGCACGCATTGGAGGGGCCATGCGCATGCTGCAGCGCCACAGGGTGCTCTGTGAAGCAGAGTGCTGTGCACTCATGTCCCTACCCCTGCCCCCTTGGCCATCCCCCTCTCCCCCCTGTCTCCCCCCACTCCCCCCAACAACAGGTGGTGGATGACAACGTGGTGAACCAGAAGGTGGCGATGCGCATGCTGCAGCGCTATGGGGTGCTGTGCGAGGCTGTGGACAGTGGCATGGCTGCGCTGCAGGCCGTGCAGGACGCCGAGGGCCGCGGGCAGCCCTTCGATGCCGTCTTCATGGACGTGCAGATGCCGGGCATGGACGGGTGAGAGATGCCGGGCATGGACGGGTGAGAGATGCCGGGCATGGACGGGTGAGAGATGCCTGGCATGGACGGGTGAGAGATGCCTGGCATGGACGGGTGAGAGATGCCTGGCATGGACGGGTGAGAGATGCCTGGCATGGACGGGTGAGAGATGCCTGGCATGGACGGGTGAGAGATGCCTGGCATGGACGGGTGAGAGATGCCTGGCATGGACGGGTGAGAGATGCCTGGCATGGACGGGTGAGAGATGCCTGGCATGGACGGGTGAGAGATGCCTGGCATGGACGGGTGAGAGATGCCTGGCATGGACGGGTGAGAGATGCCTGGCATGGACGGGTGAGAGATGCCTGGCATGGACGGGTGAGAGATGCCTGGCATGGATGGGGTTTATCTGGTATGGCTTTGGCAGGAGGAGCCGTTCGATGCAGTCTTGATGGATGTGCAAATGCCAGGGATGGATGAGTGAGCTTTATCCCCTGCGACCACCCTGTTGGGCGACCTCCCTGCTGGGCGACCACCCTGTTGGGCGACCGCCCTGTTGGGCGACCACCCTGTTGGGCGACCACTCTGTTGGGCGACCACCCTGTTGGGCGACCGCCCTGTTGGGCGACCACCCTGTTGGGCGACCACCCTGTTGGGCGACCTCCCTGTTGGTCGACCACCCTGTTGGGCGACCACCCTGTTGGGCGAACACCCTGTTGGGCGACCTCCCTGTTGGGCGACCTCCCTGTTGGGCGACCGCCCTGTTGGGCGACCACCCTGTTGGGCGACCGCCCTGTTGGGCGACCGCCCTGTTGGGCGACCGCCCTGTTGGGCGACCACCCTGTCGGGCGACCACCCTGTCGGGCGACCACCCTGTCGGGCGACCACCCTGTCGGGCGACCACCCTGTTGGGCGACCACCCTGTTGGGCGACCTCCCTGTTGGGCGACCACTCTGTTGGGCGACCACCCTGTTGGGCGACCTCCCTGTTGGGCGACCTCCCTGTTGGGCGACCTCCCTGTTGGGCGACCTCCCTGTTGGGCCACCTCCCTGTTGGGCGACCGCCCTGTTGGACGACCTCCCTGTTGGGCGACCTCCCTCTGAAGACGTTGCGGCACACCCTCCCATCTCCTTCTTGCTTCTGTCTGCACATTTTTATTCCTATTTCCACAACACCCCACTCCTTACCCTGTCTTCCCTCCTCTTCCCCCGCACCCACCACCTCCTGCAGCTATGAGACAACGCAGCAACCCACGGGAGGGAGAGGGAGAACGGCGCCACAGCCAAGATTGAGAGCGCCTTCTCATTCAAATAACACCCCTCCCTCCCTTCTCCCCCTCCCCTCCCCCCTCCCCGCACACTCCCTGTCCACCACCACGTGCAGCTACGAGACCACGCGGTCGATCCGCAGGCGGGAGAGGGAGAACGGGGCGGCAGCCATCCCCATATTCGCCATGACTGCTGACGTCATCAGCGGCAGCCGCACGCGGTGTGAGGAGGCGGGGATGGATGGGTTCGTGCCGAAGCCGATCGACGAGGAGCAGCTCCACGCCACGCTCTGGAACTGTTTCGGCCGGGCCTAGCTCACGGGCTTTGACGGGCTTTTGTGGGGAGACGGTGGGGATAGATGATGACTCGTTGGGCTGACAGCGAGGGGGCGGGTACGGATGGTTTGTGCCCGAACTGATAGATGAGCCGAGCAGCTGCACACGACTGTGGAACTTCTTCTGCCGGGCTTAACTTATAGAGGGGTTTGGGTGGTCTGGCAAGCGGTTGACTGGTGCAGTCAGACGTGCGGAGGCGGGCAGCATGGGTGTGTGGCCACGCCTGTTGAGGAGCAGCAGCTGCACGCTGCTCTGTGGAACTGCTTTGGGTGAGATTAACCGAAGGGGTTTGAGTGGGCATTTGACCCGTTTGGCTGACAGTGAGAAAGCTGACATTGACAGCTTGGCGCCTTGGGCGATGGACGAGTAGCAGCTGGACGCCGCACTTCCCTATTCTGGTTTGGGCGCGTGCAGTGGAGGGGCAGGCATGCATGGATGGGCGCGGCCAAGCATGGATGGGTGTGGCCACGCGGATAGGAGGCAAGCAACTGCCCGGTGCACGCCACACCATGCAACGCCATGCCACGATGTGGGGAACTGCTTTGGGCAGGGACAGTGAGGGGGCTGGCAGGGCTGGGATGGGTGTGTGACCAAACGTATACAAGACACGAACGGGCAGCTGGCGGGCAGTTGGTGGGATTGCACGCCACGCTGTGGAACTGCTCTGGACGGATGAGGGGCTGTGTGTGTTGTGTTGGTGCACTTGCAGGCCGGCCCAAGGTGCCACACGTGTACACTTTTGAGGCGTCTCACACGTGGCAAGAGACTGAATGATTTATTGCTGCGTGAGATTGGCCCTTGGGTCAAGCAAGGGCTTGCATGGTGATTGATTGCTGAGTGACGTTCTGATTTGGTGAGTGCCCCACTGTAGGGTATCAGATGTGCAATAAATGACTTATGTGGTACGGTAGGGGACGGGGTGTGCTCCTGACTAATGTGATCAATACTGCGGTAAGCTTATTTGAGCCAGCCTTGGCAACAGATGCTCTCTTAGAACTTCAAACCAGTACTCTTCGTAACATTCTATACATTGTAACATCTTGTTTCCTGAAAGCACTTGGTGAACTGAAAGGGCTCATTGTCGTAGCTCTAGGATGACATGAAGGTGTTAGAATGTCGAGAGAAAGTTGACAAAGGGAGGAAGGCTGAGGGTTACAAAGGTGGGAATGTACCCTCTAAGAACTGACCTAACTAAGGCTATAACAAATATACTGTACCTAGCATCGACAATTATATTTGTTGACACACCCCCTAGCCAAGATAGTGGCAGTTCCTAACAAGGAAAAGTACACCAGGGCAGCACCACTAGTCCGACCTCTGATGAGTGTAATAAGAATACTCAGGGCAGTACTACTAGTCTGACCACTGAGACAAGAGGCCACAACGCCAGTCAGCAAGTGTAGCAAGACAAGCAGGTATAACACAACTAGTATGGGCAGGTATAGTATGACTCAGGATACAAGGAGAGGTGCTGCTACTGAGGCTAGACCAAGCTGAGTACAGAACCGCTGATGGTTACGAGACGCAAGTGCCTTGGTGAAGATATCAGCGGTGTTGGCCTCTGAGGCCAACTGTACTATACGGACCTGACCGCGCTGCTGCAACTCTCGCAGCAGGAAGTACCGCAGCTGGATGTGCTTCGCTCTGCCCTCAAGTCGTGCCTCCTAACACAGGAGGATCATGGCCCTGTTGTCAGCAAACAGGACCGGGGCAAACCTAGGCTGCTCATCTAAGTCAGTGAGCAAGAACGTCAACCAGCGGAGCTCCTGAGCAGCCATGGCCCCAGCATAGATCTCTGCCTCATAGCTAGACTGAGCTACAAACGACGACCTGGTGGACCTCCACGAGACTACACCAGCACCAAGACTAAAGCAGTAGCCCTGAGTCGACATGAGCGTCTCCAAGTCGTCTGCCCACGACGCGTCTGTGTGTCCAGTGAGCACCACTCGCTCATGTCCTCGTAGCACAAGCCCCAGACCTGATGTGCTCGCCAGATACCGCAGTACCCTCTTCGTAGCCGGCCAGTGGACTGGTTGGTGCCTGCCTGTCGCGACAAAGCGAGCCAGGAGACTGAGAGAGTACGCTAGATCTGGTCGAGTGCAGGTCATCACGTACATGAGACACCCCACCAGCTATGCATATAGACCACTAGCCTCGACCGGCTCAGCCAGAACAGGAGCAGAGAGCTTGTGATCCACAAGGAGGAGGGTGGGCTGTGCTGAGGAGAACTCGAGACTAAACCTCTGGAGGATCTGCTGCACCATATGGGACTGGGAGAGTGTGATCGTGCGAGCGGCACGGTCACGAGAGATCTCCAATCCCAGATAGCGCCTCAGCTCCCCCAAGTCTGTACAGGTGTATGTCCTAAGTAACTCGGCCTCCACTAAGGCCAGTGCGACTCTGTTGGGAGTAGCAAAGATAAGATCTTCTACGTACACTAGAATGTACAACGGTGTCGAACCGTGCGAACAAAGAGAGAGGGGTCAGTAGAGGACGGAAAGAAATGCAGCTCAGCAAGAGTAGTGCGAAGCGTGTCATGCCACTGACAGGGTGCCTAACGATGGCCGTAGACAGGACGGCGCAGGCTCCACTGGGTCCCAAGTGGGAAGAACCCAGAGAAGCCTAGAGGGCGCCGGAGGTAGATCTGCTCATGTAGACTACCCTGCAGGAAAGCTGTGGAGAAGTCGAGTGAGTGAAGCTCATAGTCACGCTGTGCGACTATGTAAAGAAGGACCCGAAGAGTAGTCATCTTTGGGGTCGGGGAGAAGGTCTGGAAGAAGTCCACTCCCTCACGCTGACTGAAGCGTTAGCCACGTAACGCGCCTTGAACTTCGACGGCTCTCCAGGTGCGCGCTTCACCCTGTGGATCCACATGCCATCGATTACGTTCGCCCCAGGCGGGGGAACTACGTCGACGTAGGTGCCAGTGGATCTGTAGGATGCCATCTCAGTCTCCATGGCCTGTATCCACTGGGCTGCCCAGGGCCCCGACACCGCCTCAGCGTAAGAGCGTGGAACAGTGATGTCGAGAGCGTCTGGGTCGCCCTCTGGGGATACAAGCATGGAGCAGAGATGGGGAACAGCGGCAGCAAGGTAGGCTAACTCGTACTGCCTGTCCTCCAGTACGTCACTGCGAAGGGCAGGTGCACCCCCGACGGACGGAGGACGGACAGTACCAGAGATCAGAGCGGCAGCGTAATCAAGGCGGTGGCTAGCAGCAAAGTCAGCGACAGCAGCGACCAGCGCGGAGACAGACTCAAGAGGAGCACTAGGGTCAGTGACAAGCGACGCAAGCAGGCGCGACAGGACTGGACGAGCAGTGCGAACAGCGTCGGAGCGAGGAGGGGGGGACGACGGTGCGACGACGGGGGAGGCGACGGGAGGACTGTGATGGGAGGAGCATGCGAACGAAGGAGCATAGGGTGGACACTAGGACAGGGAGAGACAGGACGAGCACCAGAGGGGCGACGAACCCAATGGGGAAGAATTGGGGACTGGGGACGAGGGGGGACGGGGGACAGGTCAGGGGACGGAGGGGAGCGCGGGAGGAAGCGAGGCAGAGAGGAGTCCGGAGGAGGAAACAACAGGCCGTAAACAGGGTCACGCACCGGAGGGGGAACGGGCGCAAGGACCAAGGGGAACCTGGAGCAAGACCAAGGAGACGAAGGGCAGACTACGGCGGCTCCTGCTGCGGCGGCTGCACCTGCTGCTGCTGCTGCTGCTGCTGCTGCCTCTCCACTCCAGGACCTCCAGTGGCACCCCATCTTCCACCCGCATGCCGCGAAACAGCACCCCCAAGACTAGCACCCTCGGTCTCACCACCTACAGAACCAGAACCCTTGGATTCAGCACCCCCAGAACTCGCACCCCTAGAACCAGCACCCCAGAGCCCACTGCTCCCTGCTGCTGCTGCTGCGGTCGTGGAGTCTGCTGCGGTCGTGGAGTCTGCTGCGGCGACGGCTGCTGCTGCTGAGGCAAGGGAGCAGCGTCTGGACGTGAGCAAGGCTGCCCCAGACGTGGAACGCAGACGCGTCACCAGGAGACCCGGTTCAGAGGAGGGTCGGCGAAACCTGTGGTCGCTGGGAGCGCGGCCACAGGTTAAGCTGGTGAGTAGCGTAGCGCACAGCGAACGGTCACATAAAATGGGGTGCACCGGCATGGACCATGGAGGTGCGAGCCACCTCCATGATCAGGCTGATGCGTCGCTCAGCGACCCCATTCTGCTGTGGGGAGTCCAGCAGTGTGTACGTCTGGCGGATGCCCTCCGCACGACAGAACCGTCCTAGGGAGCCAGAGGCGAACTCGCCACAGCGGTCAGAGTGTAAGCGACCTACAGACAGTCTGTCACAGGATCGAATGAGTCGAGGAAAGGTTCCGCTATCGATTGATACAAGGCGCTTTTATACTTCCTAAGTACATCAAGTAACCAGGTCTATCCTATCCCAAGGGAATAGACCCTTCTAGAAAATAGAATCACCCTGCGTATAGCCACGCGAGGCTATTGGCTTTAAAGGATTACGGCAGGGTTACGCTAAATATAGCGTGCCAGTACATCCCGAGCCTGGTCGGTGATATAATGATAATAACAGGATAAACCAAAGGTTAATGGAAAAGAAGGAATAGGAATCCAAATGGCATGAGATAAAGACCAAATGAATCAGGATAAATAGAGGAATGAAATAGAAAGGGAAGATGGAAAGGACAAAGGAATGGAACGGGGTCGTTCTGTCACACTTCCCCCCTTCAAAGCTGGGTGGTAGACGTAACACCCTGCTTGACAAGGTAGTCGCGAAGAGGACGACGAGGGTGATCCATCTCGGATTCAAAGACCCAGCTATCCTCTGAAGGATCATAACCCTTCCAACGGATGAGAAGCTTCACATTGCCATTCCGTCGACGGCGGTGAGCAAGCACGGACTCGACCTCGTACTTGGGTTCATCATGGACGAGGACGGGCAGCGGCGGCGGCGGCTGGCGTCCAGAGACGACCGTGTTGGGATCTCGGTAGGGCTTCAAGAGTTGGACATGGAAGGCATTGTGAATCTTCCAGGTAGCTGGCAGGCGTAAGTGGAAGGTAACAGGAGTGACATGTGCTTCAACGAGAAAAGGCCCGCAGAAGAGAGGTCGCAGTTTGGATGGGAGATGGTTGATGTCAAGATTGCGCGTGTCAAGTAGTACTCGATCTCCCACGGTGATGGTGTGGTCTGTGCGGTGGCGATCGGCCTGATGCTTCTGTTGGTGCTGAATGTCGAGAAGGCGCTTGTGGGTCCGATCCCAAAGCTGATGCATGGTCGTGATGAAATCATGAGCGGGTTGGACTGTGGCTGGTATGTTTGGCTGTTGAGGTGTGAGTGGGTGGTGTCCGTAACAGAGGAAGAACGGCGTCTGTCCGGTAGCGGCGTGAGTAGCATTGTTGTAGGCAAACTCCAGAACGGGCAGGTGCAAGTTCCACTTGGAGATGTCGTCGTTGCAGGCTGCGCGGAGGAGCTGCTCCACAATTTGGTTAAGACGCTCGGTATGTCCGTCTGTCTGCGGATGGTATGCGGATGACGTGGCGAGTTTGGTTCCGAGTAAAGACATCAGTTCTTTCCAGAATTTACTGGTGAACTTAGGGTCTCGGTCGGAGATGAGTGTGGTTGGAATGCCATGTTGTGAAATGATGTAGCGAACAAAGAGTTGTGCTGTCTCCTCGGTGCGTGCTGTGGTGTGTGTCGGGATGAAGTGTCCCATTTTGGAGAACTTGTCAATGACGACGAGGATTGCGTTGTGACCGCTTGTGGTAGTTGGTAGCCCGATGATGAAGTCTAGGCTTACCACTTGCCATGGTTGTTCTGGGATAGGAAGAGGTTGTAGCAGACCTGCTTTTTTTTGCTTTCTGCTCTTCATCCGCTGACATGTATCACACGAGGTGACGAATTTCTGAACGTCTTCTGCCAAGTGGGGCCAGTAGTAGTGCTTTGCAATACCGGTGAGCATCTTGTTGCTACCGAAGTGTCCCGCGTACAGGACGTCGTGGTATTCTTCGAGTAGTAACTGGCGCAATGGAGGGTAATTAGGTACCCAAATCTTATAGGGCTGAGCCGATATGGTGCTCGGAAGGTCGGTTTCGAACCTGGTTCCTCCACGATCTCGTGTTGGTGTGTTCGGTATGGCGGTAGCTCGTCCGGGAGGTCGTTGGGAAGAATGTCTTGGAACTTCTTCAGTAAGTCCTTGATTTTTTCTGGTGGTTACGAGACTTTCTCTCCGTCATTCTCCACATCTGTTGCTATCGCTAGGAATCTGATGTTAGTTTGCTTGACGTCCTTCTCGAACCTGGCCAGTGTCTCCACTGGGATATCTCCTGTATCGTCCCAGTTGGGTAGCTGGACTCTCCTTCCTTTGTTGTAGATGCTTGCGGTGCGGTTTACCCAGTTGATCTCGGGGTTGAATCTTTTTAGGAAGTCTCGCCCGAAGATCAAGTCAAGCCCTTTTATGTTGGTGATGGGGAGAGCAGGTTTCCAGCGTAGTGGACCGATTTGTAGGTGTAGCACTGCTTCGCCGTACACTGGTAACTTGCTGCTATCCACCATCGTTGCAGAAAACGATGATGGCTTGTACTATTCTCGAAGTCGGTCGATGGTTGCCTTGTCGCAGACGGTGTGCGATGCTCCGCTGTCCACGAGTGCTTGGAGACGTCGTCCTTTGCAGATGACCTCGAGCATGAGGGGTAGGCGTTGCTCGGAGTACCCAAAGATAGTATCATTGATTGGGTCATAGGGTACATCCCAATATTCGTTGCTTCCTACTCCTGAGCTGGCAGCTGGCCAAGGCAGCTTGGAGAAAGGCTCTTCTCCAGGGCCCGGAGTTTCCGTGACGACTGTGCGTGACGTTGAAGAAGTTGCCGAGTTGGATGCATCCGAAGAAGGAGTTCGGGGTTTTTGCAGCTTCTTGTAGACCCCCAGCTTCCTCTTTAGCTACTTCAGCTCCACCGACGTCTTCCCTGGGGAACGGGTAGTCGCTGTGGGCTGGTGTCAGGAGAGGACGTTGACTCCGTGGAAAGGTCGGCTTCTTTCCACACTCCTTAATTTGGTCCCCAAGTTTCGGACTGAACGGCTCAGGTGGGCGCGGTTTTGGAGCCTCGAGAAATTGCTGCGACTGCTGCGTCGTCGCCGTTGTCGTTTCGTGTTGCGCGCCGGCGAGTCAAGTTACTCGCTCGAACTCTTGTCGCCAAGCTTCGCGGTCGGCTCGCATCTCCTCCTGTAGGGTGGCGATGCTTGCGAAGAGCTGCTGGGTAACTTCGGCGTTGTCGAAGTTTGCCATCCTGTTCAAAACACGCGCGGAGGGGGTAATTCGAAAAAAACGCGGAGCTGGTGCTTACCAGAATCGGCGTCGAATTGGTCGCCCCCGGCGGTTTTTCGAGGCAGGAGTCCCGCTGCTGCTGCTTAGCTGAGCGCGGCCGAGTGAGAAAAGCTCTGATTACCGAGTGTTACAGGATCGAATGTGTCGAGGAAAGGTTCCGCTATCGATTGATACAAGGCGCTTTTATACTTCCAAAGGACATCAGGTAACCAGGTCTATCCTATCCCAAGGGAATAGACCCTTCTAGAAAATAGAATCACCCTGCGTATAGCCACGCGGGGCTATTGGCTTTAAAGGATTACGGCAGGGTTACGCTAAATATAGCGTGCCAGTACATCCCGAGCCTGGTCGGTGATATAATGATAACAACAGGATAAACCAAAGGTTTATGGAAAAGAAGGAATAGGATTCCAAATGGCATGAGATAAAGACCAAATGAATCAGGATAAATAAAGGAATGAAATAGAAAGGGAAGATGGAAAGGAGAAAGGAATGGAACGGGGTCATACTCTCACACAGTTGGTGGGTGGTGCGAACAGTGAGAAGCCACAGGAGGAGAATGGTCGGCACGTCGGCCTTCCGTTCCAACAGGAAAACTGTGGTGAACCGCGAGAAGTCGTCAACGACGACTAGGAAGTAGCGCTCCCAACTGAGACCGCGAGAAGTCGTCAACGATGACTAGGAAGTAGCGCTCCCAACTAAGACCACGGACCGGGGCAGGGCCCCAGACGTCCATGTGCAGTGTCTGTAGCGGTTCTGTGGTAGGAGGAAACGAGGAGGAGTGAGGGGCGGCGCGCTGCCGGCCCTCGACGTAGGAGGTGCACAGTGGCGCTACCAACGGAGGCAAGGCGGGGAACGACGCAGGGAGACCTGTGACTAGACTGTACTAGGACATGTGCCTAAGACGCGGGAGTGCAGGGTGACCTAAGCGGTGGCGCCACAAAAGGGTCGGGTGGGCTAGTGAGCGACAGGAGCAGGACGCGGCGACCTCGGCAGACACCGCAGTGAGCGGGGACTTAGTGTCCAGGGTAAAGAGACCTGATCCAGGGTCATGCTCAAAGGTAGCTAAGTGTCGACCGGTGACCGTGTCTGTGCAAGCAGCGTGTCTCTCGCGGCCAGGGAACATAGTGGTGACGCCTCGGTCCTGGAGGTGACCGACACCCACTTAGTTCCTAGCAAACGAGGGGATGTGCAGACCTGTGACGAAGCCGGAAGGGACAGCCGGAGAGGGGAGAGTGGTGGTGCTACGTGCAACAGATGTGGCGGAGGAGTCTGCTAGTGCGACGCGGACAGGCGTAGGAAGCGGGATGAGAGCTGTACTATCTCGAAAGAAGCACCGAGACGCTCCAAAGTCTAAGACAAAGGAGAGGGTCGACGAGTCGGGGCCCGGTGAAGAGTCTCTAACAGGTCCTACGCCTGACGCAGCAGGGAATCCTAGACTACACACAGCAGTAGCTCCAAGGCTACAAACATCAGGATAATAAAAACTAGCAACACTAGAAGCATCAGAATACAGAGAATATAAGGCATGGTCAATCTGTATCATATCCATATCAAATATAGAAACTCCACGACGAAGCAAGACCAGCCAGGGGGAAACGTGCACCTGCGGGCCGAAGTGACGACGGTAGAGGTCGTCCAGGCGGCGGATGCAGCGAGCGGCGGTGTGCCCCACGCGCCTGTGGGTCAGTCAGCAGCTGGTACGTGCAGGTTACCGCGCTACCAGAACCACTAGCACCCTAACTCACAGAAGAGCCACACGACCCCCAGGGCACCAACAGCCCTGGGCCCCAACCCCCATGGCCTCCACCACCTCTACCACCCCCAGGGCCTGCCGGCCCCCAAGACTGCTGCGGCTGCTGCTGCTGTGCAGTCCCTGACTCTGACTGATCACCCTCTCCGTCCGCACCCTCACCCCCTCCACCAGCTGCTGCCGACCCGCCACGACCCTTGCCCCCTTTGCCCTTGCCCTTGCCGCCAGATGAGCGGCCGGGGGCAAAGGTAGCCGCTGCTGTCTCAACTACAGAGGTGGAGGTAGGGACTGTCACTAGGGAGGGAGCGCTGCCCTGAAAAATAGGGACCGCCGGCGCGCCAGTGGAACCGGCGATAGCGCGGAGGTGGTCCTCTATCTCAGTCAGGGAGGTGGAGAAGAGGTCAATGGTGAGCTCAGAGGGGTGACGAGCAAGGAGCGCGTCACGGGTAGGGGCTAGGCGGTCAGGGAGGCGGGTGACAAGGAAGTAGACAGTGGTGAAGATGGGGGGCGGGGTGAGCGCTAGCTGGGCCTCAGTACAGGCCGCACGCCAGCGAGCCTCGAGAGAACGTAGGTGCTCGACTAAGTCTGCTACAGTCGTGAACGACGTCAGGTCAGGGTGGAAGAATGGGAGGAGGAGGCGACCAAGAGTGGCAGACGACGGGGTGGAGTACCTAGCTAGGATAGCCAGCCAGAGGGCGCGGGCTGACGCAGCAACCACAAAGTGGGAGTGCTCGGCAACCGGCAGGCACCTGAGGATGGCGACTCGAGTAGTGACGTCGCGAGACGCCCAGATAGAGTAGGCAGTACGAGCAGCAGCGTGCACAGCCTGCTGCTCAAACGTCACGTCATGAGCAGGAGCGCCCGGGCCAGGGATAGTGGGGAGCTCACCAAAGACGTGGGCGTCCAAAGACTCGTCGTCGACGCGCTGACTCGTGAGCTGAAGGAGAACTGCCTCCTGCCTGGCGGCGAAACCGACTGCCTGCCCCTCCCCATCCAGGCGCAGAACGAAGACGCCGGGCGACGCCATGCTGGCAGCTACGGCCGGAAAGACAGTGGCGGCAGTAGCAGGAACAGCTGGGGCGGCTACTACAGGAGCCGGTGGCAGCGAGGGCGGCTAGCTAGCAGCGAGGTGAGGATGGCAGCAGGCCAGCAGTGAGCTGGCTAGTGGAGGCGGCTATGTGGGTACGGGCGAGCCGCGGCAGTGGTGGCAGCAGCGGCTGCAGTGGCAGTGTGGGCTGCAGCGGCAGGGGCAGCTGCAGGGGGCAGCGTGGTAGCTGCAAGGGCAGCAGCGGCAGTAGCAGCTTCAAGGGCAGCGGCTGCAGCGGCGGCTGCAAGGGAAGTGGCGGCAGCGGCAGTGGCGGCTGTGGCAGTGGTAGCAGCGGCAGCTAAAGCGGCTGCAGTGGCAGTGGCAACAGCAGCTGCAACAGTGGCCGCGGCGGCGATGCAAGTGGCTGTAGCGGCAGAGCAAGCGGCAGAGCAAACTGCAGCAGTGGCAGAGGCAGTGGCTGCAGTGGAGAGGCGCCGCTGGGAGTGGCAGCTGGCGGGCAGTGGAGTCAGTTGGCACTGCTGACTAGTGCGGGTAAGCGGTGGGCGGGCGCTGGCGAGCTGGCGCTGGCGGCTAGCAGCTGGCGGCTAGCAGCTGGTGAGCTGGCGCTGGCGGCTAGCAGCTGGCGAGCTGGCGGCTAGGAGCTGGTGAGCTGGCGCTGGCGGCTAGGAGCTGGCGAGCTGGCGCTGGCGGCTAACAGCTGGCGAGCTGGCGCTGGCAGCTAGCAGCTGGCGAGCTGGCGCTGGCTAGCTGGCTGGTGCTTGTGAATGCTTGCTGGCGCTGGCAAGCTGGCGCTGGCGTGCTGGCGCTGGCGAGCTGGCGCTGGCGGCTAGCAGCTAGCTGGCACGAGCTAGCTGGCACGAGCTGGGGGCTGGCTAGCTTGCGCTGGCGGCAAATTGCTGGCAGGGGCTAGCGAGCTAATGCTGGCGAGCTGCGATTGAGCGGGGGGGGGGGGGGGGGGGGGGGGGGGATCGGCGACTTACGAAGGCGCCAATGTGGTGCGGGCTAGCGGCGGCTGGCGCTGGTCGGCACTAGCTGGTGGCGGCTGGCGCTAGCCGACGCGAGCTACGCGACGAGCAGAGGAGGGCGGGGAGGGGACGATCTACAAGGCGCGCAACTAGGGGCGAGGCGCGCTAGGCTAGGGTGTGCTAGGGCGGAAGCGTGAGTAGAGGGCGAGACCTAGCTCTAGATGCCATTTTAGAATGTCGAGAGAAAGTTGACTAAGGGAGGAAGGCTGCGGGTTACAAAGGTGGGAATGTACCCTCTAAGAACTGACCTAACTAAGGCTATAACAAATATACTGTACCTAGCATAGACAATTATATTTGTTGACAGAAGGGTCCAATGATGTCTGCTGGGTTGGTTGGTTAAATTAAAATCCTCGGGGTTTCGGGTCCTCCTACCGCTAGGATGTCAACCCACTCGCACTATCACCCTCAGCTTGGTACTTCTGCTTTGTGAGTTCGCCATCTGCCACCACCGGTCGCTTCATCACAACCCACAGGATGCATTAAGATGTGCCTTGCTTTCAGCGCCTTGCACCACACAGCACCAGTACCTTGCTCCTCACGCCACTCGCTCTATCACCCTCAGCTTGGCACTCCTGCTTCGCGAGTTCACCCGCCACTCATCCTCATCTGCCACCACCGGCCGCTTCGTCACAACTCGGTACCTCGCCTGCCCTTGCTGCCCCACGTCACTGCTCCCTGCTCCTGCTCCTGCTCCTGCCGCTGCTGCTGCTGCTGCTTCTCTTGCACCCCCAGCCAGAAGCCCTTGAGCTAGACCATGCCCCCCCACGCCCTGCCCGCTACCCAGCCACACAGAGAGCCCTGTGCCCCCATCCCACTGCGCTGCTTCAGACACAGCCACACCAGCACCAGCCACAGGCAGCACGCCAGCAGCAGCATCCAGGAAGCTTCGTTTTACGATGCGGTCCTCCAGCGAGTGGAAGGAGATGACGGCCAGCCGCCCACCCGGCGCCAGCAGCGACAGGGCGGCAGGGACGGCGAGCGTCAGGGCGGCGAGCTCGTCGTTTACTGCGATGCGGAGTGCCTGGAAGGTGCGCGTGGCCGGGTGGATGCGGGCGCCAGGGCCCCCACGGCGGGAGGAAGAGGCTGCGATGTGGAGGGGGGGAGGGGGGGAGGGCGCGGAAGGGGACTGAGAGGTCAGACGAGCACCGGAACCACTGCGGCAAGAGCAGGAGGCTAGGATGTGGGGCAGGGAGAATGGGAGGGGAGGATGGGGAATGGGAAGTGAGGCAGGACGGTGCAGACAGGCATTGGGACCACTGAGTGGGGAGAGGACGAGACTGGGGCTGGTTGTCAGGGGAGGATGGGGGGGGGGAGCGGGAGGGGGAGGGGGTTGGGAAGATTGGGGAGTTTAGAGTGGAGGTCAAAACGGATGGGGCACGGGTGATGGTGACCGGTTGGTAACTCTCTGTTTGCTCATGACACACTCGACACATGCGACATTTCTCAAAACACACCGGCTTGTGACACGTGCGACATTTCAAGATGACCTGAGCTGCTCTCAGAACGGGCTGCTCAAGCACCAGCAACAAATGACGAAATTCTCTCAATGCACCATTGCATGCTCACCTGCGCCCTTTCTGGGCCCATACGCCCCTCCAGCAACGACTGCAGCGAGCTGAGCCGTGCTGCTGATGCGCCCTTTATCCCTCTCTTGCACAATCCGCCTGGCTACCTGCCGCCACCGCCGCTCCTCCCCAAGGTCTCTTAGGATGTGCCCTAGGGTCTCCTCCGGCCAATCATTGACCGCCACCTCAGCTGTCAAGAGGCTCTGGTGGGAGCGATGTGTGCATAGAGGGTGCAAGTGGGAGGGGAGAGAAAGGTGTGAGAAAGACAGCAAGGGGAGGAGGGGGAAGTGAGAAGCAGGAGCACACATATACGTGCATGCATGCACACATGGTTGTGCACATGCGCGTGTACATATAGTCAATATCCAGGTTACGCCCCACCATGCGGCCCATGCCATGCCCCACCATGAGGGTCGTGCCCCCATGGCTCACCTTGGGGTCCATCCTCATGTCCAGAGGCCCATCCCTCTGGAAGCTGAAGCCCCTCTCCGCCCTGTCTATCTGCAGCGGGGGAAGCAGAGGGGAAGCAGAGGGGAGCAGAGGGGAGCAGAGGGGAGCACAGGGCGGAACAGAGCAGGCAAGGGGGGTTGCAGAGACTGCGTTTCGGAGCAATGTGCGATGCAATAGCAATCTTCAAGAGGGTTGCGACAGGAAGGGGAGAGGGGGGCAGGGGGGGTGGCAGACAGCATCACCCCCTTGCTCCCACTTTGCCAGCACCACCATGTCACCTGCCGCAGACAGTACCTGCCTCAGACACTACTTGCCTCAGATATTATGTGTGTGAGATATACCACCTGTAATAGATAGCAGATGTGACAGATAGCACCTGTTACCACGTGTGCCAGATATAACCTGCCTCGGTATCACCTGCATGGAGGAGACCCCAACGTCCAGCAGAATGCCGTCCACAGAGCCTCGCACCACCCCCACAGCGCCACACGCCTCCACCATTCGCCGGAAATTACCCTCCACTGCATGCAGTGTCGCTTTCTCCCCCTCCACCGCATGCAGTGTTGCTTGGGCTCCCTGCTGCCCATCCACTGTCGCCCGACCTCTCCCCACCCCACTGCTCTGCCTGTCTTGCAAGAGCTGCACCCCTGCTTCCCCCTCGCCCCCCTCTGCCCCCTCACGCTCCTCTGATTTTCTTCCCTTCTCCGGTGCTGTCGCAACCCAAGCATCACTCCGCTCTCCACCCGTCGCTGCTGCTTCTCCAGCCGGCAATGCAGCGATGCGCTGCTGCAGGGCGAGCATGCGTGGCGGGGCGGCGATGCGCATCAAGGGGTGCAGGCGGGCGGCAGCGATGGCATGCGCTGAGGGGTCCACGTCCAAGCCCACCACTGTGTGCAGCTCAGGGTGGTGGCGGGCTAGCTGCGCACACAGGGCGAAGAAGGGGGCAAGCGTTGTGTGGATTTGCTTTTGAGTCGACTCAAAAGTAGAACGGGGCAAGCATTGTGTGAACCCGAGGGGGATGCAGCGATCGCATGAGCAGAGGGGTCCGCATCCATCCACGCCCACGGCGCTCTGCACCTTGGGGTGGTGGCGGGCTAGCTGCCCACACGGAGGGCAGTGAAGGCGGGCGAAGGGGAGAGAGGAGGAAGGAAGGGGAGTGAAGGATGAAGAACATGGATCCCGCACCTGTTGCAAACATACCCGTTACTATCATCTCAGTTACAGCCACACCCATTGCAGCCACACCCGTTGCAGCCACACCCGTTGCAGCCACACTCACAGCGAGTGTATGCCCGCCAGAGCCCAGCGTGCCATCCACGAACGTGTTGAGGCGCACGCCTTGGAACGCCCCCACCACCTCCCTCACCAGCACCGGCACGTGCGGCCACTCCACGCCTCGTCTCGCCCCACCCCTTCCCTTCACCTCCTCCCCTCCCCCCACCTCCTCCCCCTTCCCCACATCCGCTCCCCTCACCTCCGCCCCTTCCCCAACCCACCTCTCGGCCTCCTCATAGCTCACCCCTCTTCTCAGACTCGCTCCGCTGCTCGCCCCCACCCCCTCACGTGCCCTATCTTTCTCTTCTCTCCGCTTCCTGCTCTTCTTTCTACTTCCATTCTCCCCTTTTTCCCCTCTTGCTCTCCCCTCCTCCTCTTCCCCTTCCCCCTCCTCCCCTTCCGCCTCTTCCCCTTCCCCCTCCTCCCCTTCCCCCTCTTCCGCTTCGTCCTCTTCTTCCCCCTCTTCCCCTCCGCCCTCCTCCCCTTCCGCGTCCCCTCGCCCACTGTACCTCCTCCCACCTGCAACACTAACCCCCGCCTCACCCCCCCCTTCGGCCCGCGCTATTAGGGGGAGCGCAGCCTGAGACTGCAGCCCCGTCAGCTGCGCGCAAATGCGCCCCACGCGCACCATTGGCGCGCCAGTGAACCTCAGCGCTTCCCCTAGGGGATGCGCGCAGGGATGCGCGCAAGAAGAGCTGGTCCAAGTACACGCGGAGGGGGCGGAGGAAAGGCAGGGGGAGGGGCGTCGGGAGGCGCAGGGGGAGGGGCGGAAAAATACGCCAGCGTTGGCGCAGCCAGAGGGGCGGCTGGATGGTGGCGAGAAGAGAGGAGACGAGGTTAGCGCGTTGCGCCGGCTCATTCTGCTGCCCTCCTTTATTCGGCTCACTCTGATGCCTTCGCTGATTCTGTTGACTCTGACGACCCTGCCGATTGTTGCTGTGACCGCCAGTCGACCTGGAGGGGAGAGCCATGGTCGAAGGCGGGCCGGAGGTGACGCGAGTGAATGTGACAATGGCGAGGGGAGCGGAATGAGATCCATCGCGCGCGCCCAGCATGCGAAGCAGCGCATTTAAATCCGCGGCTCGTTTCGTTGTGAGCCTACGACGCGAGTTCTGCCGGCTCAGAAGAATCTAGACCCATTGCGCGCGCCCAGGCGACTTTTGAGTCGACTCAGACATCCGTCGCGAGCGCCCAGCACGCGAAGCAGCGCATCTAAACCCGCGACTCGTCCGTTGGCGAGAGAAGGCCTACAATGCCAAGCTCGGTCGGCTTTCTTGTAACGCAAACCGCTGCGCCTCTTAGCAGCACTCGTTTTACCAAGTGGTCTAGGGGACGAGATGAACGAGATGTTACATTTCTGGACGAGATGGACGAGATGGATGAGATGTTACATGTCTAGTATCCAGAACAGCTTGCACCATCGCCAGCGGTGTTATGAATTATAGCTCAGAGTATAGCGCAGAATACTATAGGGGAACGTGATTACAATGTTGTCCAGAATAATGAGGCCTAGGCAATATATAGGTGTGTTGACCAGGGTTGAATGTCAAGGGCTGGACCAGTCAAGGGCTGGGTAGTCCCGATGGTGACGGGGTCAAAATGGGCTCGAGGCGACTCGGGATCAGGTTGGGGGGACCGAAAAGGTTGACGGGGGCTGGTTTGGCTCGTGACTTGAGGGCTGAGCCTGCGGAACCGAGAGGTTCGCGTGTACTCGCTGTGGCGAGCCCCAGTAAGGAATCATTATTCCTTACAGGCGGGGTACTTTGGTCTGACTCTGACTCGGAGGCCTATGAAGGGACGCACGGCCCCAGGGGCTGGGGTTTGGGTTCAAGTTTGAGATGGATTGTTGTTTGGGAAGTATTTGCGGGATGGGTACTTACCCTTGTTGTTTCTGCTTTTGTTGAGCATGTATGTTTCTAGGAGTCTACTCTAACAGCCACACCCATACTAGTCCATTGCCGCACGAGCACGTCTTAGTTGGCAAGAGCGAGCGAGCATGCACGTCACTCCTCCGAAAGCGGCACTACCCTCGCCAAGGGCGATCGTGCGACAAGCGCGTTTGTTGACTCCAACCACCCATGCGCCGTAGGTAACGCACGGTCCCGATCAGACGGCGTGGACACGAATCTCGAGCGCAGCAGGCGCCAGCATCCAGGGAGTCGACTTTCGGGTCGACTCACAAGCCATCGGGATTATCTCGAGCCTAGCTGTAGTGGAAGCCAGCATTCGGGCGGCGAGTCCGCGTCGCCCTCCTCGGTCGCAGCCGCTCGCGCGGTCGCGCGGTCGTGCGGTCGTGCGGGAGCAGAGTGACTCAAGTGACGGCCCGTCCGAGACGCCCGGCGCGCCTTCGTAGTTGAACTGCCGCGCTACCAGTCACCAGAGTGGTGCGATGCAGGTCTAGCGGGAGGAGAGGGGGGAGGACTGGCGGCAGGAGGGGCGGAAGAGGGTCAATGGAGGGCCCGCGCAGTGTTGGGGGGACAGGGACCGGGCCGGGGGTGGGCGCGGGGGCGCTGGGAGGCGGGCAGCCAGCGGCGCCATGGCCGGGATTTGGGGCGGCGCAGAATGGGCCGCAGCTGTCGAGCCCGTTTGTGGTGCGGTTCGGGCAGGTGTTCACGGGGTTCGGCGTGGGGTGCGGCGTCGGTATTGGCGTCGGCCGGCCCGTCAACCTGGGTAGGCGCTTTGGGGTAGGGTCGTTGGGATAGGGCCGTTGCGTTGGGGTAGGGTGGTAGGCGTATTGGGGTGGGGTCATCGGATACAGGGTATGTGCACCTGGTGCGCGTGGGGCAGGTGCGCACCGGTTTCGGCGTGGGGTGTGGCGTGGGGCGGCCTGTCAGCCTGGGTAGGCGCGTTGGCTTAGAGTCGTTGAGGTAGGGTCATGAGGGGTGGGCGCATGAGGGTCGTGAGGGGTGGGCGCATGAGGGTCGTGAGGGGGTGCATTGGGCTTGGGTCATTTGAATTAGGTCGATTGGGGGAAGGGAGACTGCATGTGTGTCGACTGAGAGGTGAATTGGTCATTCCCGAGTTTCCTGTAGGTCGCCCTTCATCCCACCCTCCTAGTCTCCCGCCTTCACAATGTGCCTTCCCATCCCTGCCACCCATTTATCTGCACCAACTCTCCCCACACACACACTCCCGCACACTCCCCCCCAACCCAGGCGCGCTGCCAGCAGCATCAGCGGTGGCGTCAATGGCAGGCGACTTCAACCGCCTAGCTGCCGGCGCTGCTGCGCCTATTAGACCCTTGGTGAGCCTCCCCTCCCAGGTCTTCCCTTGGCCGCGCTCAGACCATATTTAAACACTTTCTGGCCTTTCCTGGGCTCACTGTGCTCTCTATCTCTCTCTACCAACCTCTCGCTCCCGCGTTGGGCGCCTGAGAGTGCGGCAGGCGGATGTGGGGTGGGGTGTGCAGTGGGCTCCTCCCAATCCTCCCCTATACCCATCTCTCTCAGCCTCCCCTCTCTCTGCTTTCGCCCCGGAGCTCAAGAGCCCCGCATGTGGATGTGGGGATGAGGCGCGGCTTTGGCTCCTCGGTATCCTCCCCCCCACGCCACTCTCTCATCCCCCCTTCTGCCCGTGCTCCTTTCCCCACTTCCCAGTTACGGCGCCTGGGAGTTCCCCATGTGGATGTGGGGGTGGGGTGTGGGGTGGGTTTCGGCCATGGCTTTGGCGCTGGGATTGCGCTCAAGCCACATGTTCTGGCATCCGTGCTCCAATCCGCACAGGTGAGAGAGGAGTGGCTTTTGAGTGCCTTTCGGTTGTCCTCTGCAAGGTGCAAAAAAACGGTAGTTTTTTTTTTTTTTTTTTTTTTACCGTAAAAAACGGTATCGTTCTTTTCGGGCAGTTTTAAATGGTAAGAAACGGTTCGGAAGTGTGCTTTTAAGTTGGTGCAAAAAAACGACCGAAAAATACGGTCGTTTTTTTTTTTACCTGTCAATTGTCGAAAAAAAATCAGGACAGACAGGAGGAGAGTAGGCGTAGGAGGAGTTGGAGTAGGGGTAGGAGGAGTTGGAGTTGGAGTAGGGGCAGGGGAAGGAGGATTAGGGGTAGGAGGAGGAGGAGGAGAAGGCGGAGGAGGTGGAATAAGGGTAGCTTGTTAGTTTGTTAGATAGATTGTTTGGCCCCTTGGCATTCCCTAGACCGTCTTGGCCATGCTTCTGACTGTTTCTGCATGTCTGCCATTTTTATTTTTATTTTCACAAAATATCTAATAAAAAAACGTCGTTTTCAGGAATCCACCGCAAAAAACGACCGTATTTTATGGACCGTATCTTTCGAAAACCGAAATTTTGCACCTTGGTCCTCTGCGTTGCTAAGCATTCCACTGTCCGATACCATCATTGGCCTTAGACCCCATCTCCTCATCTCACAACATTTCGCCTTCACTGTTTGCTCCCTCCTCCACCTCCACCCTTTGCAGGCCGTGGCATCTCGCCTTCTCTCTCACATCCCTCTAGAGCATCGGTCGCACGCCACCACAGCACTTAGCAGCACCATGCCGGCACTTAGTGGCTCCATGCCAGCTGTTAGTAAAGCAGCAGAGCAGACAAGCGCACACAGTGGAGCCCATGGGGCGGGTGTGGCAGAAGGAGGGGCAGAACGGATTGCCCCAGGGACCTTTTCTGGTGTTTCCACTGCCGTTCCCGGACGCATCAACAGCACCGACTACTCTGCTCCCACTGCTGCGGTGCTGCCCCCCACTGCTGCAGCTTTGCTGGACTTAAGCCTGAATAATTTTCTCTTTATGTCGCATCCTGTGCTCCAATTTTCTAGCGGATTGCACTTTCAATGGATGTTCACACGTACAGTCCCAGCTTCCCTTTAGTCACATCTTCTCTCATTCCCACCTCCTGTCGATCTGTTTTTTCACATGAAGATTGAGAACTCTCTGTGCCCTGGAGTCTGGTTTTCTCACAAGTGTGGAGCACTTTCATTAATGTATCCCTCCCATCCCATGCCATTCCCTCTCCTGTGTTAACTCTCTCAGGTAGACCAGACCAAGGCACAGAATATCATCATGCTATCTGTAAGTGCACAGTTGACACCCCCATTCGTCCTGCACACATGCAGGTAACACAGCGCGAATGCCGCATCTCAAAGACAGGCTTTTAAGTGTGAATTGGGTGAGCCGTGTCAAGAACCATGCTTGCCTCAGTTCTCCTCTAAATCTTTGGCACGCCCCATGCCTCTCATCATGCCCCATGCCTCTGATCATGCTTCGTGCCTCTCATCATGCCCCATGCCTCTCATCATGCCCCATGCCTCTCATCATGCCCATGCCTCTCATCATGCCCCATGCCTCTCATCATGCCCCATGCCTCTCATCATGCCCTGTGCCTCTCATCAAGCCCTTGTTCAGCTCTTGGAGCAGCAAGCGGATATTCGCCGCCTCACTCAGCAGGTGCAAGCACTGGAGGAGCAGCACCAGCACACAGGGGACGACACGTCGCGGTGCTTTGAGTGCCGTCAGAAGTCAAGGCGACGAACAAAGAGTTGTGGCAAATAGAGAACAAGGTGCTTGTCTAAGGGCATTGCTCTTCTTATGCTTCGACTTCTGTCGTTCAACAAGAGCTGTCTTTCAAACGCAACCCCCTAATGTGGTGCTTTGGGGGTTGCCTTGGGGCGTATTCCTACTGGTGTGATAAATTCGTACTTAAGCATTTCTGTTAGTTCCGATCAGGCCCTCAGGTTGCAGGCTTTTTACCCTGATTCAGGGTAAAATCAGGGAATTTTTTGGGGCTGACCCTGATGGGGCAGGGATTTTTTGAGAGGCAACCCTGAAAATTCAGGGTTTTTTCATGAGTGAACTCTGAACGTTCAGCGTTATTATTGTAGTGGGCCCTGTTGCCTCGGCGCAATATTGGGAACCTACCCTGTTTCCTGTACTAGCGAATTCGGTCCGGGCCCTTGCCGTAAAATCCGCTTGATGTGTGCTGGGGGTTGTGTAGAGGGCACTTGTTGGCCCTTAGCCAAATCTAGGGCTAATGCTGGGGGATGTGTGAGGGGGCTTGTTGGCCCTTAGCCAAATTTAGGGCTATCGCTGGGGGATGTGTGAGGGGGCTTGTTGGCCCTTTGCCAAATTTAGGGCCCAGTGTGTGCCTTGGGGCTTCGTGAGGTTGAGACTCGAGATTTCCCCCCGCTCCTCCAAACACGTTAGGTTATCCGATCGGATCGATCGGCAAAATCTGATTGGCCGAGGCTTCCTGAAGCATAAGTGACCGCAAAAAGTGGCCTCAGAATATCATTGCTGCATCTTCGTTCGTGGGAACCCTCCCTCCTTCCCCCCACCTCCAACCCCCCAGTCCCTGCCCTCCCGAATCTCTTTTCGCCCATCTCCCAAATTCGCAAAATCAGCGTGTAATTCAGAAGTAACTCTGATTACTCAGCATAATATTTTCTGTAAACCCTGAAAAATCAGTAGAATTTTGGGGGGACGGCCTGAAAAATCAGGCTAAACATGTGGGTGGACCCTGAGCTATCAGGGTACCTTAAAACCAATCTGAGGCCCTCGTTCCGATAGATATTGTCGAGTTATTCTGCGGTTAGCATCCGTAGAATGATGTCAGCAAATAGCACTCGTCTGGATGATTACGTCAACAGGCCGTTTCACTCGAACAGTCGCGCCCCTTCCAGTCGTGATTAGAGCGCATGGCGCAAATTGTCAACTTATACATATTATCTATGTAGAAGTTATAGGCTAGACTAAGGTATGCTTCTAGTGAGTACAACCAACTAGTATTTGTTCTAGGTTTCCACTTCTAGTGATCATTCGTTCTCACTTTGACATGGTATCACGCGTAGGTTAGCATCCCCCACCTACCGCTTCCGCCCGTACCCTAGCTAGGCCACGTCGCGCCTCCCAGCCCCGTCGCGCCTCCTAGCCACGTCGCCCCCCTCCTGGGCCACGTCGCGCCACCCTAGCCCCGTCGCGCCACCCTAGCCCTGTCGCGCCCCTCCTAGGCCCCGTCGCGCCTCCTAGCGCCGTCGCGCCCCTCCTGGGCCCTGTCGCGCGGCCCTAGTCCCGTCGCGCCACCCTAGCCCCGTCGCGCTCCTCCTGGGCCCCGTCGCGCCTCCTAGCCCCGTCGTGCCCCTCCTGGGCCCCGTCGCGTCGCCCTAGCCCCGTCGCGCCCTACCTGGCCTCGTCGCGCCCGCTCGGCCTCGTCGCGCCCTGCCTGGCTCCGTCACGCCCGCCTGGCCCCGTCGCGCCTTGCCTGGCCCCGTCGCGCCTGCCTGGCCCCGCCGCGCCTCCCTGGCCGTGCCGCGGCTGCCTGGCCCCGCCGCGCCTGCCTGGCCCCGCTGCACCTGCCTCGCCCTGACGCGCCTGCCTGGCCCCGTCGCGCCCTGCCTGGCCCCGTCGCGCCTGCCAGGCCCCGTCGCGCCTGCCTGGCCCCGCCGCGCCTGCCTGGCCCCGCAGCGCCTCCCTGGCCCTGCCGCGCCTGCCTGGCCCCCGCCGCGCCTCCCTGGCCCCGCCGCGCCTGCCTGGCCCCGCCGCGCCTGCCTGGCCCCGCCGCGCCTGCCTGGCCCCGCTGCGCCTGCCTGGCCCTGCCGCGCCTGCCTGGCCTCGCCGCGCCTGCCTGGCCCCGCCGCGCCTGCCTGGCCCCGCCGCACCTGCCTGGCCCCGCTAGCACCTGCCTGGCCCCACCGCACCTGCCTGGCCCCTTCGCCCCGACTCGTCCTGCCGTGCCGCCTCGGGCTCCATCTCCTCTGCTCGCCCGTGCTGAGGCGCTTCGCGGCCGCCGTGTTGGAGGGGGCTGTCGCGGTGTTCCTGCGTTGCTGTGTTCCTGTGGAGCTGTGCCGCTGACCCTGCACGATGGCGGACTTCGTGCTCCGACTGGACGCCGAGGGCCATGCGGTTGACTTCGCCGCCTGGCTCTCCGATCTCCGCCGCCACCTTACAGGTCAGCGCCAGGATGGCCACTCTTTGGTTGTCCATGTCGACGGCTTGCTCCCTCGCCCCCCCGCACCAGCTCCCCTCCCTGCTGATCCCTCATCTGATGACCGTGAGACCTTCTCTACTGCTGCGCTTGCCCGTGCGGTGTGGGACTCCCGCGATGCAGTCGCTCAGGTTGCCATTAGCCACGCCCTCCCTGTCTCTGAGCGCTCGCGTTTTGCTACTATTGAGACGGCCAAAGCTTACTTAGACGCTGTTATTGCCCGCTATTCCACACCCGCGTCTGCTTCTGCTGGTCGCCTGCTCTTCCCTATGCTTTTCCCAGACCTTGCAGCTTTCCCTACCGTCGCAGACTTTGCCACTCACCTGCGTGCCCTAGAGACCCGCTATCGCACTGCCAGCACTGCCGCCCAGCTCACTGCGCTCCCCCCCCCTTTCTGCATGACGCTCTATTTTATCGCCATGCGCCTGCCAGACCGCCTCGCTAGTTCTCGCGATCACTTTCTTAGCCAGCACCCGGGTGACCTCACTCTCACTGCCTTTGTCGACACCCTTACCGAGATCGAGACTCGCCAGCGCACTATCACTCAGTCGAGCGGTGCGCCGGCAGTTTCTATCTTTCACGGTTGTGCCCCCTCCCAGTGTGCGTTCACTGACGTTTCGGCTGCGGTCGCCTCGGCAGCCCCTCTCACCGAGACGGCGGGTGCAGTCCACCCGCAGCAGCGCTCGCGCCGCGGTGGCCGTGGTCGCCAGGGGGGTAGGGGTGGTGGTGGTAGTAGTGGTGGTGACGGTAGTCCGCCTGCGGGGACTACCACTGGTGGGCAGGAGCAGCAGCCCCAGTCGCAGCAGGAGCAGCCCCAGCCGCAGCCGCCGCCCCAGCAGCAGTCAGCGTCCCAGCAGTAGTCGCCGCAGCAGTGGGCCCGTCTCCCGCCTGGTTGGCCCGGCACCTCCGGAGGTAGTGGTCGTGGTGGCGGCCCGCGCAGCTTGGCGTCTACCGGCGGCTCCGGTGCTGTCACCTGCCAGTACCAGCTTCAGACCGGGCCTCTTCGCGGCACTCTGTGCTGCCGCCCGCACCCGACCGCCCGCTGTTTCTGCCGCCTCGACGATCTCTTTCGTCGTCGCTTTGACCCGGCCCCGGACCTCCCCGACTGGCACAGCCTGCTCCGCCAGGGCGTGCCGATCTTTGAGTTAGACATGGATCAGCTAGGTGCTGCTTTGCATGCTTTGTATTCTGACGCTTCTAGTTTTGCTGGATCTTATTACCCTGTGTACTCTAGTTTAGGTGTTGCACCACTGTGTAGCTTAGCCTCCCCTGCTGCGTCAGGCGTAGGACTGCCTAGGTTGCCTAGTCTAGTCGCTGCACCGGCTCCGTCCCCAGCCTCGGCCACTGCGTCGCTGTCCTTCACTCTCGACTCCGGTGCTTCTCCGTGCTTCTTCCGCGACCGTTCCACGCTCACGCCGCTTGCTGCACCTGCTGTTGTCTCCCTCGCTGACCCCTCTGCAGGTCCTGTCGTCGCGCGCAGTACTACGTCCCTTCCCTATCCGGCAGTTCCCTCGGGCTCCCTTACTGGCCTCCACGATCCCTCGTTCTCGAGGAACCTGTTGGTGTCGGCTGTCTCCAGGACCTCGGCGTCACCACCACGTTCCCCGGGCACGAGCGATTCGCTGTCTGTTCTGAGGCTATCTCAGGTTCCCCCCTTGCGACGTTCCCCCGGGACCCGGTGTCCGGTCTGTTTACCCTAGACACCGCTTCCCCCCCGGTTGGTGCGTCCTCCCAGGTCGCTGCAGCTTGCTCGTGTCGGTCCCTCACTCACCCCTCCCTTCTCTGGCACCACCGCTTAGGTCACCCTGCTCTCCCATGTCTGCGTCACATGTCCCAGCACGGTTTTGTCTTAGGTCTCCCCGCGTCGCTCCCTGCCCTTCCTCCCTCGACTGCGCCACCGTGCACGCCTTGCGTCGAGGGTCGGCTCCGCCGTGCTTTTCACTCCTCCTCGCTGCGTCCTGCTACTGCCCCCCTTCAGACCCTGCACCTGGACGTTTGGGGCCCTGCCCCCGTCCCCGGACCGCGCGGTGAGTGCTACTTCCTTGTGCTCGTCGACGACTACACGCGCTACACCACGGTGTTTCCCCTGGAGCGGAAGGCCGACGTGCCCGACGTTCTTCTCCCGTGGGTTGTGGCTGCGCGTCTCCACCGCGGTCTCCCCGTGTTGTGTCTCCACTCCGACCGTGGCGGCGAGTTCGCCTCTGGTCGGCTTGGCCAGTTCTGTCGTGCGGAGGGCATCACCCAGTCGTACACCTTGCCGGACTCGCCACAGCAGAATGGGGTTGCTGAGCGCTGCATCGGCTTGGTCATGGAGGTCGCCCGTACCTCCATGATCCATGCCGATGCCCCCCATTTTCTGTGGCCGTTCGCTGTTCGCTACGCTGCTCACCAGCTTAACCTGTGGCAACGCTCCCAGCGGCCGCAGGTTTCGCCGACCCTCCTTTGGACCGGGTCCCCCGGTGACGCGTCTGCGTTCCACGTCTGGGGCTGCCTTGCTCACGTTCGTGCCTCTGGCACGGACAAGCTCACTACCCGCACTGTCCCCTGTGTCTTCCTCGGTTTCCCCCTGGACTCGTCTGACTGGCTTTTCTACCACCCGCCATCTCACCGCTTCCTCCACTCTCGTGACGTCACCTTTGACGAGTCCGTCTCCTTCTACCGCCGCTTCCCTCACCGAGGTCTCCCAGTTGCCCCCCCCCTGTTCCTTGCTCCCTCTCCCCCGGTAGCCCCTGCCCCTCTCTCGCCTCGTCCTGCCCCGTCTGGTGTCTCTCACGTCACTCCCCTCCCGTCGGTTGTCCCCGTTGAGGAGTCTGCTGACTCTGGTGGTACCCCCGGTCCGTCCTTGCCGCGCCCCCCTTCCGCGGTGCCTCCGCCCCCACTGTCGCAGCCGTCGCCGCCGCCGCCGCC